TGTGTTCTTATATGGATATGAACTAAGATGCTTTGTGTATTTAAGTTATTGTGGGTCTAGTCATTTCAATCAAGTAGTGGCACTCACATCAGTTAAGTTGTAGCAAGACGTTCTGGGAGGTGTTGACAGATCGCACAAAAAGAGCATGCTAAAACGTTCAGTCCATCTCCACGGTTACCCGATCTCCTGCACAGAGGAGAGGTGCCTCATTGGCTGCCAGGCTGGGGTCACTGTGAGGTTAAGACAGTGTGATGGATGGACTTCTCTCTTTCTGTCCTTTTTACTCTGTCTGCCTCTCTCTACCCCCCATTTCTTCCTCTTTTTCGATCTGATTCTCGCTTGACCACCCCTCTGTAATGTTCTTCGAACATCAGCTTTGCTCTCATCAATTTTAGGCTAAATTATAGGCTTCATGTATGACAACGAGAATATGTCTATGTCCATGTCTATTTCTAATATATTCCGTGTGAGTTATCATTACACAATTTGTTTTACTGAAAGGACATGTTATAATCACAAAAACACTAAGGAAGACTATGGAAAAGTTAAGGTGTTAAATAACCTGAGACAGCATGTCTTGTCCATTGCTCTAACATGCAGTTTCCGGATGGACATTTGGAGATGTTTTCGTATATGCTATTGATTTTAACACAGGGAAAGTCATAAAGTTTAAATAAGCATATAATACCCCCCACCCCCCCTTCAAATTATTTGAGAGATGTTTTATATATATTTTATTCCTATATAAGATGTAATTCTTTGTTGACATGGAAAGAGCAGAGACAAGATAAGTGAATATATTGCCATTGCAGTCCCAGTATTCCTTCATTTTTTGTTTAAATAAAATAACAGTAAGTGCATTTTTGCCATATGTGCATGTGTTGCTTAAAGGGATACTCCACCCAAAAATGAAAATTCCTCATTTACTCACCCTCAAGTTTAGAAGAATGACTGTAACTTTGGCACCATTGACTTCCATAGTATTTTATTTTTCTACTATGGGAGTCAATGGTGACAAACAACTGTTTGGTTCCAATCGTTCTTCAAAATATCTTCCTTTGTGTTCAGCATAAGAAATAAACTCATACAGGTTTGAAACAACTTGAGGTTGAGTAAATGATGACAGAATTTTCATCTTTGGTTCGAGTATCCCTTTAAACATGCATTTTGTTAAGAGTGTCTCTGTGTGTGCATGCTTGATACTCTACTTATTAGGTTAGCATTAGGTTGTTTTGCTTGCTGGATTATCTGACTCTTAAGGCTAATGTTGCATGACTGATCAAAGTAAGACCTCAGGAAAATGAAAGGTTTTAGTTTTTATTCTTCAGTTTTGCCTTATTTAGACCTACTGTATGTGAAAACTAATTGATTTACTAATTTGGGCTCATACCTTTCCATATGTGACAACAATATTTAAGTTATATGTTCCATTTTTAAAAAAGAGGGAGAACAGATTAGAACTGAGTGAAATGTAACTTTTTTTAAACCAAATATGCTGACAAAAAACTATAGCACTTTTTGAGGTTTAGAGCATAGTTTTCAAAAGAATGAACACATTTTAGAATTAGTCCAAATGATAAAATGAATTTATGTTAGACATTAGTTTTTAACATCAAACCCACAACAGTGTTAGATGACCTTGCTGCTTTTTCCCCTCTTGCACTCTCTGTATCTCTCATGTGCACAATCCAAAGTGACCAACAGGTGTTCCACCTTCAGCTACATACAAATACGGACAAAGAAAAAGACTGTATGGGGCAATGCGTGCAGTACATGTGTTGCAGTGTTGTTGTTATATTTATTCATAATTCAATGGTTAGTCACATAAAATCTTTTAATTTTCAGATAGAGAATGTCAATTGGCAAATATTTAATTAAGAAAGGGATTGATAGATTTTATTTATTTATAGGTATCATAGAATCATTGACTGCCATAAATGGAATTGCGTTAAGTAGGCTATACTGTAAACGTGCCATGACTTTTTGTCGTATAAATTTGAATACATTTTAAATATAAGTAAATTACGACCTCTTTCGCTTGATATAGATTATGGTATGATAGCACTCACTCAGTGTTAAGATCTCAAAAATGTTAACTGCAGTGACCCATAAGCTACTATTATATAAATATCCACGTGAAAGAATCAATTTTTACCGAAATATTTACATAGCCTTTTTATTTATTTATTTATTTTTTTTACAATTGCATTGTTTTTATATTATTATTATCATGGGATAATAAATAGAACTGAATTTTTTCTTGTTAGTTTTTTATAAGAACATGAATGAATAGGCTAATTTAACAGTTTAATTTAAAAGAGATCTTTAAATAACTAAATTAATATTCAATTAATATAAAACATAATAATAAAACTAATATAAATAATAATAATAGTGTCTGATTTTAACATTTCAGTGACATATTTCAGTAATCCTTTGTTATCAGTCTCCTTAAAAAGGCAATGTCAAAATTACCTTTAAATATCGCAAAATATGAAGATGTATATAGGCTGAAGATGCATAAACGTTTCTTACTTTTTTGTAGCCCGTTTTTATTGACGTGCCTAAACGGAAAATAATATGATCGTATTTATGTTTTCACAGTCACGAGCCTTCCTGCTTAAGTCTGGCGATTAGAGACGCGAAATGAAGACATTAAAATCTCAACTTGACTTTAAATTGACTTGGCTTTATTTCCTCAGATTTATGTTTCGGTTTCATATAGGTCTAATTGTAAAATGTTCATTTTTATTATTATTTTATCATTTGGTTATTTTTTACCAAATTATTTTGGTTACTTTGTTAATAAATTTTAACACAATGCAACCATGCATATTAAATGTTTTACTATTGGTAAATACATAAAAAATGGCAAAGAGGGTCATATTTTGCGTTATAATTCATCTCACTTCAATCACTTCAGCATAAACCAAATCGATAGCCTATTCAAAATATTTTCACCGCGTTCAAGGGTGTGCTCATTATGTCAGAAAAAAAGAACACGGAAAAATCTTCAAAATCAAAAAGTTGAATGGAAAACTTTTCTCTCAGTTAATAAGTTTAAACAGAATTGGCTACTAATAATTTTCACTTAGGAAATACATTAATACGAGTAGCCTATATTTTTAAACAGAATAACGCATCTAGTCTAGAACTTTCGCAACCGGACCAGAAGAAATTCAGGCTCCACACTCACACGCAACCCTCATGTGCAGGTGGTTTTAAGGAAAAGGGGAATTCTCAATCAAGACCATTGTGTAGAGTGCGTACTGAAAATGTCGGACTGTCGCGCTTTCTGTACTCAAGGAAGTAAATAAGTTAACTAAACGGAACTTTTAAGGTGTGTGTGCGCGCGCACGTGTGTGTGTGTGTGTGTGCGTGTGTGTGTGTGTGTGTGTGTGTGTGTGTGTGTGTGTGTGTGTGTGTGTGTGTGTGTGTGTGTGTGTGTGTGTGTGCCTACTTAACTATTTTTGGGGACAGATTTGTACCCAGAAGTGATCAAAACCTGACAAAATCTCCAAAAACTTCCATTTGGGACGTCTTCATTTGTAAATCTGGTTGTAAAACAATTAAATTAAAATTTTTTTTAATGTGAACATGCAGAAAGTTTTGTATGATGATTAGGTTTAGGGGTATGGTTAGTGTAAGGGGATGCGATATATAGGACACGTGTATGGACATGGGTATTACAACATGGTTAATGGTGACATTTCCAGAGTCCTCGTAATTAAAATGGCTCAAAATAGCCTACCAAACAATGTTTTGTTAAAAAATGTAAAAATGCTGAACGTTTTCTGTGATGGGTCTAAGTTTAGGGGTATAGGTTGGTGTAGGGGTAAAATATACAGTTTGTATATTAAAAAAACATTAGGCTACTCATGCAATGTTCTCATAATCGCATCAACGTGTGAGGGAGAGAGAGAGAAGGGGGGGGGGGGCAGATTTGTTGTTCAGAATTTTTGCTCTTTATATTCTTTTGTTAGCCTACTCGACACTCAAAAATAAAACAAAAATAATATGATATGAGGAAACACACGTCATCAACACGGACGGGGTCAGACCGACCAAGACTTGTCGATAGTTGAGATGATTTAATCGATGTTAATTTTTACCCCCTTGTCCTTCGTTTGCCTTCGATAAACTGACAGGTCAATCGGGTTGTCATCACGAATGACGGTGACAGTAGGCTGAGCATCTTCTTTCGTGGATAAACATGCTTACCATGTGCCAATATATTTTTGTCCCTGAGGAAGACACAACGCGCGGACGCATACATCAGTTACGGAGCCATGATTATGCAAATCGATGACTCAAACATAACGGTCCAGCCAAAGAAAAAAAAAAAACCCTCAACAATAACACATTATCTAAACTTTATATAGCCTAACTTGTAGATGGTCGGCTTTATTGTAAAGGTAGCCTAAGTCAGTAATATTTTTGAAAGTTAAATGCGGCTGTGTGGGGGATATGACAGGCATTATTACAAGAGTAAAGGACCAGCGTTCAAAAATGTTTAGTTTACACATTTAATTCACCCGTATCTTGATCATGTTTCTAACGGAGACTTGTGCTTACATCTCCGACTGATAAAACTCAGTATGACCCACGACAACTTAAAATAATCGCGCACCATGTTCACACAACACATTCACAACATCAGGGTAACTTAACACTGCACAGTCCAGAAAAGTTGTCATCTTCAAACAAGCATTTGCCGAGAGTTACAGTTGACCAATCTCTCTTAATAATACATTACTTAAATATATTGCACTAGGCTATTTCTTTTGGTTTTTGAGGTAGGCATTTTGACAAGTGGTGTGTAAATCCGACAAAAGACATGTGTAAAGGTGCAGCATTTGCTACTGTGCACGGAAATGCACAATCCACTTGTTCTATAGGTGCTTGACAAGGTGCCCAATACTATTAACAGTCATTTCACAATAACACAAAGTAGCACGGAAATACACTGAATGGTCAAAACGGTTCAGGTCGAAACAAAATTGTGCAATGGTCTCTGTATGTCACATAATGATTCTGACCTTGAAACAAGATTAACAGTTCTGCACTAACAGGTTGGCAGAACAAACGCCGTTTAATTCGAGGAGTAGGCATCAACGGGCGGAGTGGGAGAGGGCGTGGAAGGTGCGGAGAGCGACTTTTCGGATGCGTTCTCGGGTTTTTCGAGACCATCCTTCAGTTCGGACGGAGATTTAGGCAAAATACCTTCCTTTTCGCGTTTCTTTTGCTTCATGCGACGATTTTGGAACCAAATCTTCACCTGAGTCTCGTTCAATTGGAGAGCAGCCGCGATCTCCACACGCCTCGCGCGAGTCAAGTACTTATTGAAATGAAACTCCTTTTCAAGCTCTGTCAGCTGTTTTGTCGTAAAATTGGTGCGTGCCGTGTTTGGCTGCCCACCAAATCCATACTCCCCAGCTTTCCCTGGAGAGAGACGAAAAACAGATTTTTTAAAAAATAAATAAATAAATAAATGCGCATGCATTTCATTTCAGTCTCTCATTTAAGTCATTTTCAATCGTAGCATACATTGTCAACAATATCAGTCAAAAAACAGACATTGACATTTAAAAGTTCTCCAGGCACTCACCTGTTTTTGGCGGGTTCCGTTTAACCTTCATCCAGTCAAATGTCTGCCCTGTGGACACGCCATCTGATAGAGGTGAACAACATGCATCGTGATGAGACACATGCAGTGGGGACAGCGGATTTGAGCAGCCCGCCACAAACGTCAGATTCGCCTGATCTGGACTATTACCATATGTGGCTGAGGCGTACTGGAACTGGCCATGGAGGTGAACGTTTCCGCCACTGTAACCATGGCGATGGTGACGGTGCTGCACAACAGTGGAAGAAATATTTCCAGAGTAAACTAAAGGGCCGCACTGGGGAAAGCTCACAGATGAGTCCACATCCTGATTTAGGGCATAGTGACTGTATCCGGAGCAAAAACTTTGAGTCCCGTAACTTGGATGGGCGCTGTAGGTAATTGACAAAGTCCCGGGGGACTGATACGAGCCGGCTTGGTGTGGCTGAGGGTTAATCGCGTCTTGTGTTGATCTACTGGACATGAACCGTTCGTCCCCACTGCAGCTGTTTACCCTAACAGCACACGATGACTGGAATGTTGAAAGTCCGTGGTCGCCATGGAACGCTCTGACTGAGCACGAGCCTCCGCCACCTCCGTCTCCACCACCACTTATGGACGAGAAATCTAAGAATGTGCTCATTGTAGCATCTTCCTGGGCGTTTCTGCGCGTGGCTGCCACACTGACAGATATTTGGGCCCCGGGACTGATTAACGTCTCACCACTCACCCGGGGTTGTGCCGAGCCACCCTTCTGCCTCCTTCAATCAGTCGTGAATTGGGGGTGCCCGCGCGCTAGTGATATGAATGATCAGTGACAGTCACGTGGGCTGGGTCAGCCAGTGATCAGTTGCTCTGGCTCATCTTGATCTGAAGTGGCCTTGCACTGACAGGTTGTCGTTAAAGACCAGACTTATGTAAATGCCGACCTCTTGTCGATCAACATGACGTAGGCCAACCTTAACCCCCGATTGAAAGGATGGATTCGCTGGCAGAGGAGCAAGTGTTTCACAGACAACGTCCAGGCAGCATCAACATACTGTCGTGGGGAAATATGTTGAAGAAATACGTAAGGTAAGATGAACCACAGGAAAATGATGTAAAGGGAATGTCTTTGTTTCCGTATGGTTTATTCAGCCTGAGTAAATTGGGCTACTTTGTGAGGCTGTTAGGCTACGCATCATCTTATGTCAAAAAGATAAAAACACTGAACTGATTACTAATTATTTCTGTTTACTATCTTTGCATTAGAATGTTTTCAGAATTTAATAAGAGTTAGCCTTTCTTAAAAAGTCTGTGCTAGCCAGCACTGTTATTACTGCTATAAGCGAATTATGTACGATTTATGTATTTATGATTCTGTGATCTTTGGTGAAAATTATCTTTATTACTTGTTTTGTGATCAGTGGTCAAAAAGCGGTCAGTTATCATAAGCAAGAGAGAGTAGCCTATAGGCTATTTCAATCTCATAGCCAATGGAGCAGGGAGGCATGCGCCCCGTGTGGATGAACATGGGAAAAATTTCTTACAGATGTCTAATGTTTTTTAATACTCAAAATGGCGCTTTCAACAAGCCCCTGACGACCTAGTATTTCCCATCCACTCTTTTTAACACTCCTTTTAAAAGCATGGTTCTTTATAACAAGCCAGCCATTAACATAGACAGTGCATTTAAGCAAAAATGTGATTTAAGTAAGCAAACAAACAAAAAACCTATAGGCTGCAGTCAATTCACATAAGACAATATTTTTCTGGAAGATGTTCAGGAACATAAAAATACTGCCTTTAATTATATTTAAAAAAATGTTTTTATTAAGGGTTTTTTAATATAGGCTAATGGTTATAAACCATTTCTATCACACTATTTCAGTCAGGTTATGAGGACAATAAAAAAGCTTAAAAGAGACAAAGACAAACTGCATATGGCACGCACAATGAAATAGTTTATGAGAGGTTTGTGTAATCCTATGCCGGGTGTTAAAACGGCACTAAAAATGAATTATTAACCGTCCACGTGGGTTACTTCATGATCCAAAATCTTCTCAATGATAAACAGGGAGTGAAAACGCTTATTTGGGTAGACGTTTCACATGCAGTGATTGTCTTGGTGCTGTCAGCTTGCCTGAAAGACTTTGATTTATGAGCTCGTTGTGGAAAGAAACACCCTAGGCATTTCCCCGCGCGCCGCGGAGAAAAGAGTCAAAGACAAAGAGCGCACCATTGGCGAAGACGCCATACTTAAAATATAACATTTGAAAAGTTTACACCAGTATGTAATAATATCACATGTGGTGGGAATAATTATAGAGTTTATTGATGTGCATCGTTTAAGGGGAAAACAAAAAATAATATTTTACGTAGATTACATTCATTCAGAAGATTAAATAAATAATTAGGATTAGATTTATTAAATAAAACCGAAATTAAATAAATAAAAGTTTCCTAACGCTGATTCCATGGCCCCTAATTACATTGTTGCAGAATGTAAGTGAGAAAAAAGTAAAAATATAAAATCTGTGTGCATTTCATTTGTGTGACTTTTCTTCACAAATTATCTTTATTGTCTGCTCAGATCATTCAGATATGAGTCTGACCATTCATTTTAATTTAGTTCAAGTGTATTGATTATAACGTGTTTACGTTTCGTATACTTACAAATAGGCCTAGCCTATTTGCAACATGTGTGTGTGTGTGTGTGTGTGTGTGTGTGTGTGTGTGTGTGGTGTGTGTGTGTGTTTTATTTTAAAATAGAATACATACAAAGTGTGTTTATTCTTACAAAAATAAGCAACAGACAACAAAAATTCAAGGAATCTAAACTGCATTCTGTTATGAATTAGGCCTATCTTTAATACACTGAATACAGCGCCCGGGTCTTATCTTACCTTCGATATGTTATGATAATCATCACCCATCTTGGAAATAACAACAACAGCAACCACAATAACAACAAAAACTTTAAAAACTTCTGAATTATCCGTCCATTTGTCCACTGGTCCTCTTTGATTATCAGTAGTTTGCATTTTGTAAATCAAATGTGGTAAATTAATCCGTTAAAAAATAAAACCCCGTTGGTATATCATCTGGACTTTTTAGAGACTTATTGAAAAGTGTATGCGAAGCTGCATCAGACAAACGTGAGTCGGTCGAAAACATCTTGAAATCCATAACATGCGGGGAACCGCAGTTGTCCGGTCTGGCATATCGGTTGTCTGTTATTGTCCCCTTGCCCAGAGCAAGGCTGACTGGGAATAGCTTTCAGACTTCTTTCCATAAAGCTGTTAGAAAACATTTCAAAAGTTTGCATGTCGTTATCATTACAGGGCTGCCCGGAGAGTGTTGACAGGTCGTTTTGAAAAGAGTTCGACTCGTGTTCTACACCCAGTCTACCATGAAGCAGGCCACAAAAAGAGGCGTCCTCGTCGCTCAGTTCACCACTATCATCAACGGCAGTCGTCTTGCTTTGCTCCCCATAGACGTCGGAAATATGGGTCTGGCGTTTATGTTTCATCCGTCGGTTCTGGAGCCACACTTTGTGGAAGGAGAGTGGAACTCCTTCTCCAGCTCCAAAAGCTGTGTGTTTGTGTATGCTGTTCTCAGGCGGCGCGAACCTCCCTCTCCACTAGACAAGCCGCCCTCGGGCAGCTCGGGTGAGCCTGGAAAAAATTGTCAAAAAAGGAACACTCGAATTGTTTTGTTACATAGTCAAAAATATATACAATAACAAACAAAAAATAACGTAAGAATACCTAGTATTTGTCTATCGTAATGTTACTGTAATGTTACCTGTAAAATGCGAAAAAGCTTATAAACTAAAAAGTATTGTGAAAAACAGTGTAGACCGCAAACAGCATCGCCACTGTGTGCGTACCGACCAGCATCTTCTAATGAATGCCTGAGCGTCCCTTGCGCAACAACAGTTATCTATCATTCTTCGTTAGACGTCAGACATCAGAAAGACCTCACTGATTCGAATTAAACTATAGATAGTCAAACATTTTATATAATTTTCACATAGACTGTAGATAAACATCGAGAGGATAGTGCAAAGAAGGATATGACGATGATATGACTCATTTTTCTCTTAGACCTTAAATGATCTTAGTTTTCTTTTCGGTTAGTTTTCCTAAACTCTAAACAAATGACTCCTAGTCAATGAGGAGTAGTCAAATGGTCTTCTTTTCGCTCATCCACGGGTATTCCGGGGTCAGATAATTAGCGTACAGTGGGCTTCCCCCATCTATACTGTGCCGGGGCCCTATATGGCTTGGCTGACTCCTGAGGCATAATCTTGGGGTGGTGTGCTCGAAAGGAGGTAAGATAAGAGGGTATAGGTTCGTGAGCGCTGAGCTTTTGACTGATGACTTCTGAAATGAGTCGTCAACAGGGGGGGAAGAAAGGCACTCTGCTAGCGATGGCTGACTGTTGATGAAACCTGTCTCGCACTCAAACTCGTAATTCATTGTAAAACTGTTGTCTCTTGTCCCAAGAGCGCAGGTAGGGAAAGTTTGGTTTCGCTGAAGTCTATTTTTCGCTCTCAACTATGAGATAGTGTTGATTATGCCGGAAATACTACTGAAATCTCAACTGAAATACTATTTATTTTAACATATAGCCTACGTAGCCTCACTATTCATGTGTGGACCGCTCACAAGGCCTATCGACAATTTTGAATTCTAAAAGAGACTGGAAAGTCTGAAAAGTCATGTCACATGATTACCTCTACCCAATGGCAATTTGGGGGTTATTTAAAAGGATCCAGCTTGAGACCTCGATCCGAAAAACTTCTTCCAGCAACTCATATCTCAAGGAGGAGGTCACTGAAATGTGCATCGTTGTCATGGTGAAGGCAATGGCCCTGAAGCTTCCTAGTCAGACTCAAACCTGGTCGCCGGTGCATCTAGAGTTTCCCATCTCCCTTCGTGCATTCTGTCTGTATTCGTATCACAAATAAAGTAGCCTGAGTGGATCAGTCTTGCTCAAATAGATTAGCCAAATAAGTTATTGCTATCGCCTGCTATAGGCTACTGACAGAGAAGTTTTTTTAATCTCACGTGACCTGAAAATACTTAGCCTACCATTAAGACTGCATATAAATGCATTGGTATCACAAATGGCCCTCCCCCATCCAAATTAACGTAACGTTCCGCCTATCGATTCTTAGGATACACTGGCTTGAAAAAACGTACAGCTTTATATGTAACAGAACATTCTGTAAGATGATCGCACTGAAATATATGGTAGAATACATCATAAATATTTATAATATACCATGCAATATAAAATACAAATTAAAAGTCTGTATATTTAATTATGCTCTCTATGATGGAGACGTCGTTCTCAGTAAGTAAAACGCTTCCTGATACCATATATTTTCATATATAGAAGATTTTTTTTTTGAGCAGTGTGGATTAGAGTAAATAGACTCCTAGTAAAAACGTATTATCACATACAAACTCCTGCTCTGCTCTAGCTCAATCTACTAACCTTACATTATCTACTTTGATTATTGTTGGCTTTCTGTAAAGCAAAAGTTTGAATTATTTAATATTATTTACATTTTTTTTGTGCTGAATACAACCTATATGCATATTATGTTTAAACTTTAGAAAATTAGTACTTAGTCGTTTGTTTTAGTGCCTAGCCTATACTAAACAATGAGAAGCCTGCACGCGATCAATCTTACTTGCCAAAGGGTATGACAGTCTCATAACACCAAAACACATTTAAATCTTCTAACTCTTCGCGAATCAAATCCTAGTAGGCTCCAAATCCACGAGAGGCTCCATGACAAAGTTTTGCCTCTATCTCTCTCATATAGACTTAAAGTCCATCCACTTTCGAGGAACAGTAATTTGCTTTCGAAGAGTAAGTAATTTTCTTTTATATTGCATAATTTGATAAAAGGACGCGCTGTTTTTGTTTTGATAAAGGCATCCTTAGGAATGTGAGAGTAGAAAAGAGGTTATGGAAGTTGGCACTAACTCCAAGTCATTGAAAATATGGCCATGTTTCCCCCATGAAGCTACATCTTTAATGTCCCTAAATCGATCAACTTTATTTTTATGGCGTGAACTAGATATTCCCAATGTCTCGCGGAAGCTCGAGAAAATCAGTTGTTCTGACTTGTTTTGGTAAACGTAGGCACCGAATTAGGGCATTTTACGATTAAAGCATTTTTACAAGTGTTGCAGTGATTTATAATTACGTCGTACAGCCATATAGGCTAAACATATAGGCTAGTGAAAAAAAGCTATATACCAATATTTTCAAAAATTAAACTGTTTAATATTTGGAAATTAAATAATATTTTTTGCTTGCTGTTGTGTTACGTGTGACTTGTGTTTCCAGTGTACTGCACAACAATGAGATTGTTAATCAATCCCCTTTTTTGTAAAGTGAAATTGCAAAACTACATTGTTGATATTAAATAAAGCGTCTCTACATTAATTGTTAAGGAATAATTGTGTATGTCTGTCTCGAGTACTGAGTATGGTTGAATAAAATTTCAATTGAATTGTTTCTGAGACTTCTGCGTTCTTCTTATTAGCATTATTTTACTAATAGCATTATCTTTTATGCAGTATCTGACTTTTCTTTTTCCTTCACTGTTGTTAACCCAAAAAGGGACTGGACTTGAGCATTTCAGAGTTGTAAAGACTTTTTTTTTTACTCCCACAGGCACTGCTGGAGGCCCATAGGAGACTGCCACTGGATGGAACTGGTTGCTCTTTTCACATAGGCCTACTGCAAGACTGCAGGAAATGACGGTTCACCACTCATTAAATATATGCAAAAGTTGCTTGTTTGTGTCCTTTATACAAATGTCTTTCAGTCATCTTTTTATTACAAAATAAGTTTTAAATTTTACTTCATTTTAATTTAACCAAACAGTGACGTACATTGAGCAAATTACCTGCTGATTATGGTTTTTTGATTGCTAATTGTATATTGCTAATTGATGCTTTTGTTGAGTTTCTACGAAGGCAATATAAGCTCGTCAGTTAGTTTCTTTTATTTCTTCAGAGGTGGAGCAGCATGGAATATGTGACATCAAAAATATTCGAACAAATAAAAAGTATCTGATTGGATGTCTTTTTCGACTGTTTGAGCAAGACATGATTAACATTCGCAAACATTAATTAATATACGAACATACTGACCTTTGATAAACAGTCTTGCCTGTCAGCACTTGACAGTGTTTAAGCGCTGACATGACTGCGAAAATCCCCGGATGCATTTTTACTTTTACCCATTTCTGTATATCTGAAGGGTTACATAACACAAACAATCTACTGTCCATGGAAACAAATAAATACATTTGAAGGACTAAGAAAAACACGAGCTCACGCTGTATAACAAAACTGTTGAAAAAAAAAAAAAAAAAAAAAAAAAACATGTTCATATGCATCCCCCCTCAAGTGCAAAATGCAAAACAGAAAAAAATCGTGGACTATAGGGACAATTTAAAAACTTTTAAATCGAAATCAATTTAAAAACATCATAAAACTGTGTTCTTATACCCTGTTTCAGATTAACCTAAACAATTCAAATAGCCCTACATATATGCCATGACATTTAGCCTATACGGTTTTAAGAACTTATTTTCTATATGTAAAGTTGAACATAAAACAGGCTACGTCGGGAAAACTATGAACAAAATAGGTGGCCGAAAAGTGCCGTGGACAGGGAGAAGTCCATCGCACTATAGATGCGTCAGTTTGGGCGCTTCCTGAATTCTTCCCTGAGAATAGTGCGGTGTAAGGTCTGTGAATGTGCATGGGTTTGGTTCGCACCCTCCTTGTTGATGGCTGTTTCCCATGGTGATTGAGCCATTGTAGTCTATATTGCCTTGAGGTGGATGGGGTAGATGGGTCAGGCCAAATACCGAGGCCCCCATACCTACCAAAGAATCCGAGTAGCCTCCACCGCCACTGACATAAACCGGGCTACCCTGCACTTGCGTTCCGTAATTGTTGTTGCCTTGAAGATGATGCGTGTCGTATTCAGGCGTGGCTGTGCCAGTCCCCGGATACCGCTTCTGAGGAGGCGGGCAGTTATTCAGAGGAGGTGGATATGACGTAGGCAGGCTATACGCATTAGGCTGGGGTTTGTTATATGATGCTGGAGAGGGTGAGTCGTAGGGCACGCTGTTAACCAGAGAATGCATTGAACTTAAATATGCAGTCCCACCCCCTCCTCCGCCACCAGATGACAGAGCAACGGGACTGTGAGGGGACTGTGCTCCAGGAGAGGGCATCATTCCAAGCCCCTTCTGGTCCTTTTTGTACTTCATCCTGCGATTCTGGAACCATATTTTAATCTGCCTTTCCGTAAGGTTGAGCAGATTTGCCATTTCCACTCGTCGCGGGCGGCAGAGGTAACGGTTGAAATGAAACTCCTTCTCAAGCTCTACGAGTTGAGCAGACGTGTATGCAGTACGAGCACGCTTGGAAGCGGCAGAACCTGGGGGACTCTTGTCTCCAGGGCAGCTCTCTACTGTTGAGGAAAAAAGTAAAACGAAAAGGGTCATTGTGTATGTCCCACTAAGTGGAGCTCACTGTAAATCATTAATCAATTTAAAGATTATAGAGTATTACTAGGATATCAGGATATCATTGGTAAAACAAGCACATGATACTGTATTGAAAACATAATTGCTTACTTCTTGACAGTAGATATATGGTATACAAATAAGTATAGAAAAGTTGGATAGTCTGCTCCGGAAGTGGGGCAGAGCGAGAGTGCAATAGTCAACTTGTTTTTTCTTCCACAAATGTGTTATGACTGAACTTTTCAGCACTTTGTGTTTGCAATTCAATTCAATAAAACGGTTGCCTACCAAATTAAATTATAGCCGGTAGACATATGTGTGTGTGTGTGTGTGTGGGGGGGGGGGGGGGGGGTCATCTGTAAGAATGCTCAGAAGCCTTTGAAATAATGCTAAGCTCGGAATTGTCACTTGGAGACAAAAAAGTAGAAAATGCTAAATTCCATGTAGCATTAAGATGCGTGTTTACATATTTTATAGGACATTTATATTAGTTGGCATCAAGTTATAGGAAAAAAAAAAAACAGAAAGCGGCGAATACTCAACTAAGATTAGATGCGTAAAATACGGCTCGCATGCGTTTACATCTTATTTAATAACATTTTATAGTTAAGCTATACATGTAATCACCTGAAATGGTACTACAAGATTTCTGCTTTGTGTTCTGACGGGACTCCTTCATCCACGGAAAAATATGTTTTCTTGTAGCTGGCGTTGGAGGTGAGTGCCCAGGATTCTCGCTGATGGTATCATTGCTTGGAATTTGGTTCAGGGCACCGGGGGATGATGGCCCGGAAGGGGCAGTAGGGGGCTGGTTGTTATCGGGGATGTCTGGTACTGGTGCTTGTGTCCCGTTACTCCGCTGGCAGCCCTCGGAGATTTCACTGGGTTTGTGCAGAGCTGCAGAACCACCAGGGGACTGGAGGGAGCAGGCCGGTCGATGGTACTCACTTTCCACATGAAGGGCCTGGAGATATTGCTGCTGATTGGCATCATAACCTAAACCGTTTGCGCTTTGATAGGGGAAGCCACTGTAAATTGCCGAGCCGTCGCAGTAGGTCGCTTTTTGCATCTCGCCGTTTCCCAATGTTTATTTCACTTTCTGACAAGGTCCTGACACCTTCGTAGAAGAACATTGGCTCAACGTAGTCACGTGACACCTCCTCGCCAATGGGCTCTACGGGTGAACCTGCGGTGAGAGAAGATACGTTGAGCGGGTGGAATAAGGCCTATCCATCTTACTTTTCAAAGCTCAGTTGACACTATGGCGAGACTGCGAGAGTCGGTCACCACTTACCTTATGGCCAGCTGCAACAATAGCCAACATAAGTAAAGAGAACTGAGAGCATGATAACTGCTTGAAATATTTGACTTAATCACACAGTCCAATCAAAATAAGATATAGTCAATATTAACAGGTTAAAATAAATAAACAAATTAGCACATAGGCCTACAACTAATATTTCCTGTAAAACAGTGTTAATGTAAATGAGTGTAAACCTAAATAAAGTATTAGGGCAATAAATCAGCCACAACCATTGCCGTGAATTCAATGCGACCTTTCTTCAAACACGATCTCCTAGTAGGCCTACTGCGTATTGTGTTTGTCCTGCTATTTATACGCAGAAATAACTTTTTGCGTGCTTGTGCTGAGTTTGTCTTATAGATGTCCTTTTAATTTTAATGTTGACTGTATTTTTTTCTATTCTAAAAAAATGTCATTACTCAAGTTATTCTGTTCTTAAGTTCTTAAGGTGTTTCAGAACGTTTTAGTCTACATAAATTCAAGCCCCTGCGTGTATTGTTTGGGTTTGAAAGTTGTTGCAAGAAACCTGAAAAACCGGGCAGACGCGCGTCTCCATAACCACACTGAACTCTTCCACGCCGACCAAAAATAATGGATAGTGTTAACTGGCATCAGTGGATGTATGAGGAGTCGTCAAGCCGGGAAAACGGCCCAGATCGCCACAGCCCAGATCTGATGCAGAGCGCGGCAGTACCCACTGAAACGAATTACATTCGCCTGGTAGAAATGTTCAACTCCAATGTTATAAGTTTGATAATTGAAAGGTTAATACTCTATTAATTATATCCCACAATTCGACGTGCTTTTATATAAGAAAGAAAACCAAAAGAACCATGATCTACTTAGCGCACAATAAAAATCAAGAATTACATCGTCAATTATAACAAATAATACCAGCAACGATAATAATAATAATAATAATAAAATATACCAATACATTTCGACTCAATAATACAAATTGGAACAAGCGTTTTTGTTGTTATATATATATATATATACAATCAAAGAAATAACTGTACTGAAATCAGTCCCAAATGCCATCGCCTACACGATACCACATAATTACATAAAACCAAACCAAAAGCCCTCCTTATTTTCTAGATTAGCCATCCATGTTTGACTTCCAATAATTTACTCTCTGGCACTATCATATGAAAGCTGAAAGAAAAGCCACTGAAGCCACAAAGCAGGATACCCAGCTGCTGCACGGGAGGAATCTGGCTTGACTGTGAGTGAGTGTGTGTATGTGCGAGTATGAACTCTTCCTGAACCAAGATTTCAGTCGCGCGGTCATAAATCACAAACTCGCCATTTAACAGTCATGCGAGAACTCTGCCTCTGTCCCGCTTACCTTCCTCTCTGACGAGCAGCGCGCAGCACGGCGCGAGCTTCTCTCATTCAGCGGCAGAAATCGATCAAACAGCGGTCCAGGATAAAGCTAAATCGGGAAGACAACAAAGCCAGAGCTGCACTTGCAGGAGTCATGGGACGTTATCTGCAGTAAAGCTGCGACTCCGTCGCGCTCGAGGATTCAAATTCCTTCCTTCTGTCTTTTTCTCTTTTTGACGTAAATCAGTATAGCAGCCAGATAACGAAAGTTGTCTCGTGCGCCCTGGTCGTAAAGATAGAGCACCCTCACACATACACACATATTACATAGCCTACTACTAAATGACCGCCTGTGTTCTCGGACCTATACTAACTGCCACCATGGGCTGCGCTCTAGTGAGTCTTTCGTGTACCACTAACGTGCACAAACTAGCACGTTAACACATACTCATGCACACCCCAGTGAACTCCCTCGAAACAGAGCGTCACCGTAGACAAGAAAAATTATGCAAATGAATCGCCTTCTCAAGCACAGAAAGCTGCTTTACTCCCATGTAAACACAGTCAGGATGGGATACATAGAATTTCACAAAATCTTTAAAATTAGGCTCAGAACTAGGCTATTTGTTGAAACTATGTCAAACCTAATAGTAGCAAATCTGGTTATTAAAAAATTCAGAACTGCAATACAGATAGGCTACATACTGAAAAAAAACTGAATTGCTTATTACTAGGCTACAGTTATCACACATTGTTTAAGGAAATTATAAATCGCAGCAGGAAACAACACAATAACCATATTAATTAGTAATAATAAACAATAACAATACAACATAATAAAAGTTGTAGAAGTAGTAATAATAGTGTACTGCAACATTTCAATAAATTATTTAACATTTAACACATAACTGGTCATGGAGACTGAATGAAGGACTATCGGCAAAAAAAGCAAAGGATGCTTTTTGCTACACAGAAAAAGGCAATAAAACACCAGGACCTCCAAAGTAGCAGGAAGAAAAAAAGGGAGCCGCGAGCTGGAGACGGGAGGTTATGGATCAAACTCTTCTGCATTCGAATGAATTACCAACATCAGCTTGTGTATTTTCTCGGTCAGACGCGAAGATTTATGTCCTTACGCAGCACGGCAGTAAACACAGAGGCAGATTCATGTTCTCGCGCGGCCCACTGGGTTACACATTGCCAAAACTAAAGAGAAAAGAGCGGGCGGCGTGGGATGGTGAGTGGGATTTAAAATCGTTGTGTATGCGGTTTTCCTACAATTTCAGCATTTTGAACATTTGCACCATTGTTTCATTTTTTCTTTCATTAAAACGATGACTAAGGGGTTTCATTAATGGCGCGCAAACTGATGAGAAATAGATTAAATGATCGGTCTTTTTTTTCAAACATTTAAAATGAAAAAAAAAAAATCACAGCCATTTAACTTCTTATATTAGATGTGTTTTACAGGAAAAAAACATGTATTAATCCCTAATCCGTAGCCTTTTAAAACAAATTTCTCACGTTAGCTGAAGAGCATTGCAGCAGACTCCTTGATAATGACAATTGGACCATATAACGTTGCAAGAATGAAATTATGTGTCTTCATTTTACATAGGTGTGTAACAGAGGTGTGTGCATGCGTGCACGTGTAAGCCAAGTAAATGGAATGATACTAAACAATATAGCAAGACATGGTAGTTGTGAAATGCAATTGAGAGCTCACCTTAAGCAAAACACAGTCTCTTGCAGGCTTAGTGATGGGACACATTCATTTATTTGAAGATCTACGACAAGAAATAAAAGTATTGTCATTTTTTGTCTTTTCTCACAACAATACCTTTGTTTTATGTTTGTTCATATCAACACAAACCAGGAGAAATGTAAATAGTTGTTAATGTCAATCACACTTAAATGAACAGTTCAGTGGGCGCACTGTGATACTCTTTAAATAAAAATAAACTCGCTTTATGTCCTTTTTTATTCTATATTAATGAGTATGTAATTCAAAATATTTTAGACAATAAAAACTTTTTTCTTTTCTTTTAGCTGGGTTGCACTATTTTTACTCTAAATCCATTTACACTACGAATGGTTAATATAACTTCAGCTTAGGCTATCTGACAAATATTGCGTACATAAACAGATATTAATAAAGACTATTAACTACTGAAAACGATCTTGGTAACGTATTCTTAAGTTTTGTATAAACTTGACGAAAGCTAAAAAACATTAGTGCTGGATATCAATTTTAAAATTGATTCTTGCTTTGCTAATGCAATTAATTACACTAGCCTACTAATAGATCAAATGCATATAATAAAAATACTGTAAATAAACTGTAAATATTTTTACAGTTAAAGATACATATTGATGTATGTGTGAAAATAAGAATGCATCATCATTAGGAATATCATAGGGAATAAAACACTCGGGCAAATGCATCGAGTTCTCCTCCATTGTGTTTCCTTCCGAGAGAATTTAGATCGAATAGTCATTAGCTCTCTAGCAGCGGCCGCCCTTAGTCCCCCAGCCCATAAATCAAGACTCGAGCGTCGTGACCTCGCGAGGCAGCGTGCTTCTGGATGATACTCTTTATATTATATCCTCGTTTCCCATGCGAGCTCCGCAACAATCCGGCCGCCACTGCTCTGTTGAGTTTTATTCGCTGTCTGGTGATTTATTCTTTCTGGGAAAACCCAGTTTACACACCCTCACAACCTGAGCTTTTCAGCCACGCACAAGTGTTGCTGATTTGAGTCCACGTGCAATACAAATATATTATCATTAATCATTCGCTCATTTAAAAATAAAAATGTTAGGCTAAAAAATAATAGTTTTATTCTAAAAAACAAAAATAAAATAAACCTTAATGGTGTGAGAGAAAATGTTTTGGACTGCATTTTTAAACGTTTGAAATGTATTAGAAACTAGGCTACATAAAATAGCTAGTCCACGAAGTAACAGTTACATTTATATTACATTTTTATTTTATTATACACGCGCAGACTATTTATTGATAAGAAACATCTGTTCCTCAGGTTTTGTGAAATGAAGCAGATTCATTCTGATTTATGAGTTTAATACATTTTTTTAAATAAAAAATCAGTATAACTTTCTTAACATTTTTAAACAATATTGGTTTTGTAAATTGTTGCTTAAAGCAATGTAACATGTAAATGTATGAAACACAAATAGATTTACGAGTGTTGTGGTTGTTTCGGTGCCGGTTAAGTGATGAATAAAAGTTGATTCTTTAATATGCTCGAAGTTGAGCTTATTTTAATGATCTTGAGTCCTACTCTCTCCTGTATTTATCCGCCATTGTAGGGTATAACTGACCTTCTCTTTGAGCCGTAAAACCTCACTATAGAGCAATGAACAATCAACGGAAATACCTCAAAATAAAATCCATCCTCATGGTGCGCAGGGCTTTCTGTCTTTTTCTGTGTGGAAAAACATATCCGTTCATGACAGCCGTATAACATCATCCGCAGGGTCTTTCGTTCTTTTTATTTTTTTTTCTCTCTCTCTATCTCTCCGGCTTTCCAGCAAGTCCACAATGACCCAACCCCACTTTAGTGAAGTAGGCTAGCGCTATCAGCACAGCAGCAGACCGGGGTTCGCATGCCATCCACCCCCTTCATCATAATATCGCAACCATATTATGCGCCCCACTCACGTGACCCAGTGTCTATTAAAAGGAAACCTTTTTTGATCTGTGAATCATTAATAGAGACTATTGTTGATACCCTTTGAGTAGAATCACAAAGATGGAAACGACGGAAGTCCTGTGCTTAGACAATAAGTCGAAATGTAAAATTCTAGTCTTAATTTTGGGCCTTTTTTAATCAAAAGACGGCATCAGAGATTAGCTGAAATGTTACAATGAGATTGGTTGCAGTCCGTTGCATTGTGAGAACATTTCGTGTTTTTTGGGTTTGTGGGGTTTCCTAAAAGCATACCTTTAATAGATTAATAGTCTGTTTGTGTGTTAATCCTAAAGGAAATAAATGGAGAACAAATGAAGGTCTTATTTCTTAATAATATTAATACAATCAGATTTCCCCTCTGACTATCTCTTAAAAATGCACAATCCAAATTCTTGCTGCAACTAACTACATATATTATAATCTAATACACAACTGTTATCCTAAATAGCCAAACTGTAAAGACCTCGAGTGTGCAAGGTGGCCCTCTCTCGGTGATTACGGTGTATCAGTCAAACAAGACTCCAAATGGAAGTTCGTGTTATCAGCGGACAAGCATCTGCTCTCTCTGACCTTAGAGCTACTCTTGTCAACTCTAAAGTACTAAAAATTACAAATGGGCCTATAAATATAAGATAAAGATAAAATATTGCTACTTTAATGTATGTGTCAATACTAAGTTACTATTGTGGACATCATAAACTTTAGTTAGCGACAAGAGTCATAGTCGCTGTAAAGTTACATTTTTTTCTTTGCTTTTTTACAGAGCAGTGATCTATCAAGTCTATACCTCAACAAACAAAAGAAAGAAGACCCGTCCCGAAAAGAGGCCTACTCTTTACACCATTTGGTGCTTGTTTTCCGGCAGCAGAGTGTTTACTGAAAGCTCATCCACCAGACGTGGTGAAGCCTTGAAGATAATTAATCACCTCAGTCAGGCAGGACCGCTTCTCCCCCATGCACCAATGCTTTGTTCTCCCAAAAGCCATAACTTGAATGAGAACAAACTTTTTTTCCCCAGATTTCAGCATGAGCTATGTTATCATTTTAACTCAATATTCATACAATAAGAATTTTTGGACAAAGGCCAGCGCTGTCCGCTTTTGAGTGAACAGTGCAAAGGCGATGCATAATACATCTTCATTTTTGATGTATGTGCTTTCAAGCGTGACTTATGAATGTCAGATATTTTAAAGGAGTAAACAATGTTTCAAAAACTGCTTTAGTCATACTTTTTGTGTTGCTTGGACTTTTTTAGGTGTATTCACCTGCCTGTTAGAACTAGAAATCCTGGGGTGTTGTTGCGAGACCCAACGCGAAAATGCTGATGTCCCTGGTGCTGTCTGTTTGCCTTCATATATTTCAGCATGTCTCCATCCTATTCATCCCAGCACCAAGTGCGCTACGAACGCTTTAAAACTACGCTTTGTGATTTTAAAAGGCCTATAATTTTGATGACATCACTTATTTTTATATGACTTTATTATTATTGAATTATTAACTGCATACCAGCATAAACATATTTCAACAATTTAGTGTGTTTTCCCTTAACAAAGTGACTTTAAAGAAGTCAACAGGCATGGCTTTATTTTCACTCTAAATGGATCGTGGAGAATCGCCAGGGGACAGAACAAATCTGTACTCAATGCTGACATTTGGAGCTCTTCAAGCAAGCTAAGATTACTACCACACGCAGACGAAGATAATTCTTTTACTTGGATTTACCGTGGTCATCATCAAAGCTAATAATGACGTACAGCTCAAAGCAGTTTGACCATGTTGCCAGTGAAAACGGCAATGCTCTATGACTGCTTATTGGACGTAGCCTTTGATTTCGGATGACGTTTGTTGAATGTAAACGGAATAAAATATTGAATGTTGAAATATATACTTCGATTTATATGTGTCCTGTGTTTTGTTCTTAATAGAAACAAGACACTGACACATACAGTGAAATGATTTTGTGGCTTACATTACTATTATCATTATTGTTGTGTTAGCCTACGTTTCTGTTTACAATTGCCTTGTATATGCGTCGAAAACCACTACCACTGAAATTACAGTGATTCATTATTTAACGTTTGCAAATAAACTGATAGCCTACTTAACCTCAAATTTTTATTATTCAGGGAAAAATAATAATATTTTTTTGGATAATGAGAGAAAACATAAATTTAGTTCACATAAGTACAAACAAAATCTGCATAGATGTACTTCACACATGTTCTGCAAACTTTTTCATATATTACCTTCAAAATATTAGCTATATTAAAAAAAAGGATAAGATTAGCTACTTACTCCAAAAGCCCTGTTTGAAGACTGACCGGAAGAAGACCAGCTGGTCGGTTCTGTGAGGTCTGGCTAAGTCGACGGTCAACTGCAAAATGAAAAATCCTACCGAACCTCCTGTGTCTATTTCTAACCATGTAGCCTATCTATTATTTAATAAGGTCATGTGAGCCAGTCAATTAAATTTTAAGCATGGTAGATTGAGAGGTGAGGTGCTAGTGTCATGATGGAAGTTTAAATTTCCTGTCTGTCAAGATCTGAATCAATGATGACGAACTGTGACTCTCATAGTGACTGCAGTTTAAGGGTTTTCTTTCTAAATCTGAATATTTAAACAGACATCGTCACTGATTCCCCCAAAGCCACACACAGACTGCAACATATCATAAACAGATCGTAAAAAGAACACTATAGGCTGTTCAAATTCAAAATCCACTGTTGTCTCAGTGTAATATTTGCCATTCTGGTGATAATTGCAAATACAAATTATGAGTGAACTTCAGATCCCTAATTTGGTATTCTTAAATGATCGACCATTCCTTTACTTTCTTTGATCTGTCTATTTCATGTTGAAGTCTATTTCGTGTGTTTTATATAATAAAGCTTTATTAGCTTGTTCAAGGGTGAGAAATTTAGAGGATTTTAACATTTAAGTAATATTTTGTAAAATAAGGCACAAAGTAACCACAGAGTACGGGTTTGGTCTCCCATAAATGCTCAGGTCATATTCAAGTTCCACTGCTGCCCCATGCGTTCGAGAAATAAAAGGACCATGGTCTGTGAGGGTGCTGAATATGGCGAGGTCAGAGGTTAAGGGGTCATACACAGTGCTTCAGTTTGATGATTGGACAGCTCATTTGTGTCCTTTGCTTGACCCAGCAGTAGTTTACACTGGTAAGTAGCCTACCGTCCGTCTCTAATTTATTTCAATAGACTTCTATGGGGGAATAGTTAATGATAGTTGTTATTTAAATAGCCAATATTTTGATTTTAGAAAGTGACTGCAAACGAGATTTCGCTACAGTTAAGATCAAATTAAAAAATGTCGTTGTCCTGACAAATAAAAAGCAAAAAGCTTGGGTACACAAAGGAGGTCTGCTTATATTGAAAATGTCATCGAAAAATAATGAGTGAAATCACGAATTACAAATGTACGGGATTTCATCAAAATACCCTAACAGTTTGAAAATTGATTTAGAAGAAAAAAGTGCAAAAATTCTGCATTAATTAATATAATTCAACAAACAGCAATGAAAGCTTTGAACGCAGTTTCAATGCGGAATTTTGCAACGTTGTATCGCATTACAAGTTAGCTTGTAAAGGAAAATCTAAAACCATTAAAGCTTGTAAAGGAACACTAATATAGCCTAACCATTATGCTATGGCGTTTTAATTATTTTATAAACAAAAACCCAAAATATTAGTCTGCTTGAATAAATAAAAACTCATATGTTTGGTAGAAAAAGTAGTTCGATTTGGGAAGTGCACCTTTTCATATAATGCTATTGTGTCTTGAAAATCAAATTAGCAAACATAAAACGTTGGTCTAAACAGTATTGGTCTCGCAATATCCGTAATAAAAATTTCAGAGATAAGCTTTTAGTCCAATGCGAACAATTCCTTTCAGTTATATAGGCTATAAAGTTTTGTTTTTGTTATTATCAAAATACTTGGAATAAAACGGTATTACGCCTCGATCAACAGCTAAATAACAAAGGCCACCTTAGTCTTTTCTATGGATTAACCTAAAGGGATAAAGCACAATAAAGTCATATTTATTATTTCCACGGGTAGCCTACAATTGCATACAGGCTTACTAAAACAACTCGACATCATTCACCAATATACAAATAACCAAATACACGAATATTCACAGCTTTGATGACGTAAATACACTTAACAATACTCATATGTAACTAAGACAAATAAGATATCTACTCCAGGACGATTGTTCCTATACTTGTGCCTTCATGTTAAAATGTCAGTTTGTACACGCGTCACTAGCGTTGATCTTCACAAACAAGACTCGGTATGCCTCGGTTAAAGACAGAAAACGTAATGATCCATTGTCCAAGTTAAAGTACATTCTACTGTTGTTCCTTTAATGGAGAGAAAAACTATTTTACAGGAAGGATGTGATTTCCAGCTCAAATTAGAGTGGAGGAAGAGGTTGGGAAGGCGAAGTTTGCCTCGTCGGACACTGAATAAAAAGTGACCCTGTGAAATTCCGATCCTAATACTGCAATGTGTTCTTCTTTCTTGTTCAGTTCCGTCTGTGTCGATTTGCTTCTAGCACTATAGGTTCGAGGAACACGGCGTGGGAAGCAGCGTTTGCTGCTGCTGAGTGGCATCCGTTTTCACGTGTTGGTTGGAGGGCGCAGAGCTTGAGGAGCGGATCTTTGTATTGGGCAGCTTGTGGTCTTTCTTCCACTTCATGCGGCGGTTCTGAAACCAGATTTTCACCTGACGCTCAGAAAGACACATAGTGTGTGCTATCTCCACTCGTCGACGTCGAGTCAGGTATCGGTTAAAGTGGAATTCTTTCTCAAGCTCAAGAGCCTGCTGTCGTGTGTAGGCGGTGCGAGACCTCTTGGGCACTCCTCCAGAGTAGCTGGCGGTCACTAAACACATAAACACACAACCAGCAGGTGTTATTGACATTCTCAGGTATAAGTGAGATGCCGGATAATTAGTATACACTTCGAAATTTTGGAAGAGCACTAAACAAGTAGAGTATGAAACAATGGATACGCGTCGTTCGCCGACTACTAGCCTATTCCATTCACACTCAGTCTTGATGTAACTAATTTGGTAGCATTGCAACACGAGTCAAATCCTATGGGAAAATAGCTAAATTAAAAGGCCTGTTTGTTGTGAATATGGTCAAAGATAAACTTTCTTTAGATTCGTAAGCAACAAAAGGCAAATGGCCCGGGCGGAACATCGGGGGAAATCAAATGTGCGAGAACTCCTTATCACCGGGATCTCGATGGCAGTAAATCCTCTAAATGAGCAATTACAACAGGGTATGTTCCCTACATGCCTTCCGACAAATGCCCTCCACAGGGCACCTAGAGCTTTTATTGCCCGTGCACATTACTTACCAGTATTAACATGGACTTTTTTCATCCAGGGATACACCACCGGCTCTTTACCCTTCTGTGCGCCTGGGAGAGCCTCTGACACGAGGCTACAATCCTTGCTCGCAATTGAACCAGCACAGCTCTCTGTGGTGAGGCGGGGTCCATGATTCTGCGGAACGGATTGAGGTTGCGCGTGATGACGGTCGGTGAAATCGTTGAGGCCGTTGGTTGACACATTACCGTAATCATAGCTCGGCTCTTGGTAGTTTGATCGCGGGTATGATGTCTCCTCGTGATGGGGGAAGCCCGCGTCTTTCTGCCGCTCATAATAATCAGAGGACACGGGCATGTATCCGTTCTGCTGATATTCCTCGCAGGGTGGGAAAGAAGGTTCGATGTAATTTGAATTGATCAAGTAGGAACTCATGATCATTAATTTGAAAAGTGCAACAATTCTAATTTTTATCGTGCTGTCGTTTTTCTGATCTCTCCAAAACCCACCTACTCCTCTGTCAAATGTACAAAGTTGGTCGGTCACGTGAGAAATGCGACCAATCAGCGCCTCCTGTGGGCATCGTGTAAACAAGCACCAATAGCAGGCCAGGCATTATCACAGCAAAAATGTGTTCGAGCGGTATATGCGTCTCTTTTTGTTATCGTAATATGAGAAATTAATTCGATATAGTTACATATACATTGAATAGAAAACGAAACAGCTGAATGTATACGATCTATGTTAAAATGACATGGTGATAAAGGATTGAGTGCAAGAGAAGACGTGATTTATCACGAAAGCATCCCCTTCCAGTGTTGATGCCCTTTCTGATGACAAATGTACAAAAAGAAATCTCGTTTGTTGTGTACCACGACCTATACAGTTCTGTAGCCTACCCTACAGGGATGTTCAAATTTCTATAGGTTCCTCAAAAGAACCTCCAAGAAGGCCCATCATGACCACTTTCACAAAGCAACTACCAGTGATATTAGCCTATGCACCTGTTAATGAACAGGACAAAGACTATTTTCAAGCCAGCAACAGCATTTACCAATACTTCCACACGTCTTTTGTAACGGTTTTTACAGACATAATAAACGGACATAGTTTTAGGGGGTCTGCCATTGGTATCTTCAATTTTTACGAAATATAATCAACTAGACGATCTGCTCAAAGCAGCCCAAGCATGTGCAGTCAATAAAAACGAATGCATACACGAGCCTTTTAGTTGCACGCATTTGCATCGTTTGATATTGAAATGATTATTAGTACCGAATTAGTATAGGAAAACCTCACATGTGTCTTCATTAAGAGCAAACATACTTAAATGTAGGCCTAGTCTAAATAAATAAATATGACATTCTTTCACAGAAGTCCCAGAATGAAATATGTTGGTCATAATAATATTTTTTAACTGTCCAGTTAAAATGGACAACTTAACAACTTTCATGTTCTGCACAATAGCTTCAATTCAACTATGTTTGAAGGTAGCCACTACTTAGTTGTATCAGTTGTATTTATTGCTGGAGGCTTTTAATTTACAGCAATAGGCTACATACAGTTATATTTGTATGAATATTGCTTCAATGGTAATAAAAATACTTAATAATCGTTATAATAATGGCTGCAACATCAAGTTGAAATATCTCAGTGTTAAGAAGTGTTAAAACTACAGATTTTTGTACGATTATATTCCATAACTGTATCATATTGGCCTTGTTGAATTCCAATGTTTATATGAAAACTAAAATATGAGAAGGCCTACCTTGTTAAAGTTCGTGAGCAAAAAAAAAAAATATATTCCTGACCTTGAAGCTGATAAGACTGCCCAGATAAACGAATATAAAGAAGCATCCCTCTTGCGATAGGTAGTTCGTGTAATGCTTCTTTTTCCTTGATATTTCCATGTAGTGCTTCACCAGTCAGCCCGAACGGAAAACTCCTGTTCAAGCATTCACCCAAGATTCACGTTATTAGGACCCACAGCCTCAGAACAGCTCTGGCTACCTTTCTTTAGCTACACAGAGATAACTTCGGTTTGACCTCTCCATGACTCAGCGTCCATTTCGTCCCTTATTAATCTTGTTCATTGACAGTCTTTGTTAAACAACAAGGCGTGCCCCGTGAAAAGGTGACATTTTCATATTTGTTAGACGCAGTGACCTTGCATTTACCCCGGCCTTGGACTTCATTTAGAACAGGGTCCTTTTATATATATATATATATATATATATATATATATATATATATCATTAACTTAATTTTCAAAAAATTATAACAACATTTAATAATAATTTGTATTAAATTTAATAATAATTAGTATCGTTATTGTTCCTATTATTAGGCTATAATAAATGTTGTTATAAAGTAGTTTGAGTGAGTGAATTTGATTTCACCTCTAGATGAATTTATATTGCTAACGTCTAAAGACTTTTACCAGCAAGGTTTTAACAATAAATAAATAAATACAATTTTAAAAAAAGGAAGAAAAAAAAAAAGAAAGCAAAGGCTTTAGGTACCATGTCGTCTGTTATACAGCTTGCTTTATTCCTTTGTGTAAAAAAAAAACTGGAGACCTAAAATCAAACACCAAAACGCAGCAGTATTTACATAGGCTATTTAAAGCAGGTAAAACAAACAGTTTATCAGCCGATCAGAAGAAAGAAATCACCGACTATGGATATTTACGTAAATCTCACAACTACAATTAGGCTAATATAAGATATAAATAAGAGAGATCGTGGTTAGTTGCCATTTTTTTTTTACTCAGTGAGAGTTAATTTCAGAAACGGCGTATGGTCATATTACATAGAATTATAAGTTGCCAATAAATTGACTATAGCAAACATTAAACAAATTAACAGTGAATGAAACACGAAAAATGTAAAAGGTAACATACATTTCGCCAACAGATTAATCACCTTCAGTTTTAACCCGTGAACTTGACAACTGATTTACACAATTAGCCTACCGAATTCCAACCTAAATATTCATTTTTATTGTTATAAATAGATTTATTGATAAAAATCTAAATAATTTAAATAGCGACCATAGGAATTTAAGACTCAAAACCTTATATTTACAAAGATCTCCGCTGTGTTTCTCTGTGTTAAAAAGGGAATTTCCGGCTATAGCAAGTTTCATCGGGTCTTAAACCATAAACCTTGGATAAAATTATTCTTATAAATTACTTTCATTAAACAAATTTTGCAGCTACAATGTGTGTGATATAGCTTTATTAATCATCATAACATTAGGCTATAATTATCACTATCATTAATGCCTTTTGTTGTTTAAAATTTCTGTACCAAATTATACTTAAGATTTTGTTCGGAAAGGTCAAATATTTCGCAAAATATAGCCAAGGCCTATGCATTCTTAAAAAAAAAACAAAAAAACAATTAATAGGCCTAATAAATTACCCAAAGAGATCCAATAAATATATCCAAATTTGAGGCAGATATGAGGCTTGTATTCGCTAACATAAATATAGAGAATATGGCGTCGATGCTTCGTCGCATGTAAGCAGAATAAGTCTACTAAATAAAATTATTTCTAAGACAATTCCAAGTCATTTGATTACAAATCTAAATACAGTCTCGGCCTCGTTTATCCCTAATTAACCGGTAAATAATGCTAAACAGATTATTTTCCTTGTATTATTTTTTTTTCTTTTATTCAATTAAACTAAACAAATGTTTGGTTTTCAAGAATCTAGACAAAGAGAAATCAACGCTTCAGAACAAAGAAATGCTCATTGCGGAAATATGATAAATCCTAAATGCAAATGTCCAGCAGAACTTTTTGTCATCAAATGCGATTTATTCAAAGGAAAATCACCAATCAAACCCCTTAATAAAACCTGAATGCTCAATCTCTGGCATAAGCGGAGGAGGTAGTCTCTTGGGGATGCTAACCCAGGGTCACCCAGCTTGCAGAGTTCATCACGAGGTTAGACCAGAACTCACGGGATTCACAGCTATTCCATCTTTTGTGCCATTATAAAAGTGGCACTGCGCTCTACAAGAACAGATGACAGCTACTTGTTCTGCAGTAAACTTTTGACCCCAGCCCTCCCCCCTACCTTTACAATCGCACTCTCTTTCTCTCAGACAAACAAGCACAAATAAACAGATGGACACAAACAAGCCTTCGAGCTCATCAACTTTCTTTCTCCCTTTCTCCCTTTCTCTCACTCTCTCATCTATCTATGCTATTGTTTTCCCAATGCATCTTTAATATCTTCCATTTATCATGACCATTAATATTAGGCCAAATCTATTCATATGGTATCAAACAACCTTGATATCTGCAGACAGCTTGCCTGCTGTAGCCATCAATTTCGTTCTGCTGATATCCATGCTGCATCAAGATTTGTGAACCATTTCTATTCTACTGAGAGTTCTTGCAATTAAAGGTGTGTGCAGAAGTTATTATTCTTTCTCTTTCTCTCATTTTTATCCTTATAGGGGAAAGGGGCGCCAATGCGAGTGACACTGAACTTGGCCAAAAGCGAGCTCTGCTGGTGGTTTACGGCGTGCGCACATTCATCTTCCTGCCGCCGCTGACCTCACGGTGAACCAGGAGCGAAGACATTTTTCTTCAGCACGTCTCTCCTTCATTGTCTATCGAATTCTGTCTATCTCCCACTCATTCCTACACATTGCTTAAAATATGTGGAAGTTATATGCGCATTTTCTCATCTCATCTGCATTACTGTAACATTTGTATTTTTCAGGCTGCGTTATATGTGCCCGTTAAGATAAAATAAAACAGCATTGTTGAGCATGATAACTGCAGTGTTCCTGAGCAGTAGTGGTGCTATAAGATTTTGTTGAATAAAAATTACTCATTTTTAATCACAAGATTGTCAGTTGGTTAAAATATCCAGAAATATTAACAAATTATCCATATTGAGAGTATGAAATGATCTTGCTAACAAAGTAGGCACCATACAGCTATTTGCCATTAAAGATAGATAGATAGATAGATAGATAGATAGATAGATAGATAGATAGATAGATAGATAGATAGATAGATAGATAGATAGATAGATAGATAGATAGATAGATAGATAGATAGATAGATAGATAGATAGATAGCAGATTGAACAACTCCCTCTCTTTCAAAACTTTTAGGTAGATGGTAAATTTGTGCATCAACATCTACTACCAAAAGTTTGGAAGGGTGTGGCTGATACAAAAACACAGACTAGAATTAACTAAAAATGTCTTTACAATTCAGAATTGTATGCAGTAGAAATGAAGCAATTATACAGTCAGAGAGCAATGCCCCCTACCACTTATCTGCCGGACAAGCAGGTCTTCACAGTACAAACCCTAATTAACAGTTACACGGTTGAAACTGAGTGCATTAATGTTCTGCTCATTGTTTCACCGAGGGCCTAAAGTAAATTATATCTCTTAAAAGAACCGAAACACCGAAACAAACCAACTTGAACTTACCAGGAACTGACTTTCGTCCACCCGAGTGAATCCGGTCGACGTGTTTCCAGTCCATAGCAATCTGGTGCGTCAATAGAAGTTGTGGTAAGAAGTCAATGAACACCTCTTAAGGTCTGCAGAGAAAGAGAACGAAGCTCCACGTCAGTGCGATTAAACTTTATATGCGATATAGTGTCGACTCCCCAAAACCATAAAACTGACTTTAATTGCCACCACGTGACTGTTTTATGGCCAGTGAGCCTATCTGCTGTTTTACGATCTAATTCGTGGAGAAAACCTCATTATTTATCTTACCCGCCAATGTCACGGATCCAGAATGGCATAGGACCTAAAGTTTGCCGCTAAAACCCTTTTCAGATTTCCAGAGAAGAGAAGAGTGCGAGACGTGGGCGTGGACGCACACTCATGTTGAGAAGTTGGCAAGGGGAACATAAGTACCCTTTCCACATTGGGTTAGTAAAGTAGTGATTAGTGTGTCTCATACCTGTTGATTCACTCAAACTTACAGAATAAAACTAATTGTAAACAAACTAGAATTTGAAAATTTCTTGCTACTTATTTTATTTAGGTTTTGAAAGTGGAAAAGCTGGTATTTTGGTATTTTATGATTAATACTCACGCTTAAATCAATAATGAACAATTATGTGGTGCATTGACTCTTATAGATACACCTGCCTCTTTTACACACACACACACACACAATCCTTTTGGGCCAAACCGACAACAAATTTAGATCTAACATTAGATAAAAAATGTATTATCATGAACATTGCATTTATCATTGGCCACATTGTTTTTCTGCACTTCCAGTTATAATTAAAATTTCACAAGAAGGTAAATTAGGCTAAATAATTCTACTTGAACAGTTCAGTAAAACACACAAATATTCAAGTAAAAAAAAAATGAGGACACCACAAATATACGGACAAGTCTTAACATAACGATTTTATCAATACACAAAAATGACAGTATAACACGAAAAAGAAATTCTTCTACTTCAACTTTACAATGAATTAAATACAATCGATATTTAAATATCGAATTAAAATAAATACATTAAATACATCAATTTATATTTACAACAGTAAAAACATAAAAAACACAACAAAACGCATTTAAGTTATGCTTCATTTAGCAAGAGTCAAAAACCTTTACAGGGTGGCTTACCAAACGCACCAAACGTAAAGCATTTTTCGTCAAAACGTTTGATATTAATTGGCACCTTTATGTGGCTTTTCTAAGTCAATGCAAAGGTCTTTCCACATTAGCAACATTACATGAAAACACAGAAGGTAATTGTTTTAATTACTATTATTATTATTATTCCGACAAAGGCCGCAGAACAGAGCGCCATACTATCTCAAGACCAGTGGGATGTTCTTTTGTGAAATGGGGGGGAAAAAAAACCTTCATCCCCTTGTAAAACATACACTTAGACGTGTGCGCGCATATGCGCATACACACGTATAGAAACACTGACAGATTTAATTTATTCGTTTATGCACATTTACAATATACACATTTTCAGGGCCGGTATCCGCTTCCTGCTGCCACCATATTCATACTCTTCAATTTGTTGTCCTTTTTCCATTTCATTCTGCGGTTTTGAAACCATATTTTGATTTGTCTCTCTGAGAGACACAGTGTGTGTGCAATCTCAATTCGTCTGCGACGTGTCAGGTACCGGTTGAAGTGGAACTCCTTCTCAAGCTCAAGTGTCTGGTAGCGTGTGTATGCTGTCCTGGGCCTTTTCCCCTCCGGTCCGGTCAAATTGTCTGTTATACACAAAAGTGTGAAATTTTCACTTTTATGATTTAATGTAGCCTAATATAATACATATATCATGTAATCACAACACAAAACATGGTTGAAAGGACATGACTCATCTTCAAAGTATGCGTGCATGGCACGCTCTCAAGGACAGAAAGCATTACATTTAATTCGTCTTAAAATAAAATCAGATTTATTTAATGAATTTAATAGCACAGCCAAATCATTAATGGTTAAAAGACAGGGCTATTAATAATAGCTACAATTGGGTTCTTTCATTGTAATAAAATAAAATCTATTCTATATTATGTTCCGAGACATGGGGTCAGTAAACAACATGACAGCATGCTGGAGGTGACATATTTCGATTTAACTGTCCAAACCCCAAAGTAAACTACTGTATTTGCATTAAATGTCCCCAGCTAAATTTGTGTAATTTGACAGGGGTTCATTTACACCTATACTCCAACAAACATAAAAAAACAGAACTTTGTTTTCCATTTACCATGACTTAAATGAAGTTTTCGCATCCATGGATAAATCTGCGGCGCCTCGGATACGTTCTGTGAAGCTGTCTGCGCACTTCCCGGCGGTTTTTCTTCCTCCATGGACGCTTTAGAGACGTCCTCGCGACTGAGAACCGTCCCGACGCTGTTGGTCGCAGAGCCAGCGGTGCTCGCTAGTGAGGTTTTCAGGGCGCGGTGTGACTGCTCGCTGACAGGAGAGTTGGTTAAGGATGAGCAGGGGAGAGGGTCAGAGGAAGTCTCGGCGCTGCTCGCGGTAACCGGTTGATTGTACCGGACAGGCGTCGCAGTTGGACTGTCTGTGTAGCTTTGAGTTTGCTCACCAGATGAGAGAAAGTGTCCGGTGGTAGAGCGTCCGGTGCTGAGATCCATTCCATTGTAGCCGTAAGCATACCTGCCCGAATGCATGCCCGTAGAATCTCTGCATTGGCCACTGGAGCTGTGGTCTCCATAGTTATGTAAGGGATAGTCCGCGCCATTTGGATAGCGACCGCAAAATGAGTTCACAAAATAAGAGCTCATTGGTTGACAATTACCGTATAATTATTTTAGTTACTACAACTACCTTGATGGAGAGAACAATGCTGCCGTCTGTGTTTGATTTGTATCTCTTGGTGGTTTTGAGCTTCTATTACACCCTTGCACAATTTATGATGAATTATGGAAATGAGTGAGACACAGACTTAATGCTCCCTTACGTAGGCTCCCAAATATGGGGTACGGCTTAGAGTCACGTGTTTTTGTTGACCAGTCGTAAATCCTATTCCATGACCTCCAGCGGTAAACTCACGCGTAAGCAGGAAATCAGGGTGGAATTGTTTGGATACGGGAGCGCGCAACAGTTTCGCCGAACTAGCTGTTGTTTGCCCCTAAAGATTGGAGCCGCGCGCCACCCTCTGGTTAAAAGCGGGACTACATAAACCATCAAACTGGAGGCGAGCACGCGATGGGGTCATTCAGAGGGTAACGACTCTGCGGTAGAAAAATTGTATCTGGTGAAACAATGCACCGTGACCTGCACACAAAACACGCACCAGAATGTCTAATGGATTCAGTAGATTCAAAGACAAATGCATCTAAAGGTTTGAAATAAAGAACCCACAAGGATATAAAAAAATATAATACAAAAGGATACAATTCTTAGGTATATAGCCAACCCACTTAAAATAATAAGGAATATAGTCAAGTCAAGTCAAGTCACATTTATTTATATAGCGCTTTTCACAATACAGATTGTATCAAAGCAGCTTCACAGTGATAACATGTAAGTAGCACAACACAGATCAACAACATTGCTAAACACTAAATAAATAACCCCAACTGAGCAAGCTCAAAGCAAGCCAAAAGCAAGGCGACAGTGGCAAGGAACCAAAACTCCATCAGATTGGATGGAGAAAAAACCTTGGGAGAACCCAGGCTCAGTCGGGGGCCAGTTCTCCTCTGGCTTACATTCATATTGTTTAAATATAAATATTAAATATAAATATTGTTTATGAATCAAACGGCGCCATAACATATCGCAGGCGTTGAGTCGTCTCATCACAGAATATAAGGAAAATAAACTGGTTCATCAAATAAAGAGTTTAGGTAATTTGGTAGTAGGTACCACACGCTCTTATTTTGTCTAATTTTATAGCCTATATGATCATCGCTAATTAATATAGCTTATTAAACAAGAACATATGGAAATTTTTAAATATGTTGAGCTGTGTGTGTGTGGTCCAAATTCCTACTTCATGCTCAAAGATGGCAGTATATATATATATTATATATATATTGTTCCTATGAGGAAACAAGCTTATGCATCATAAAGAATTATATTTTTTGCACATCTAAAATAGCAGAGCTTTCTGGGGTATATGGTAGTGAGGATATAATATACAGTTTTTATAGTATAAAACACTGCTGAATTAAAATGTTTAATTCTTCTGTTAATACTGTTAATGGATGGCCATCTCTGGTTAAATTAAATTCACTTAAATTATTGTTGTTTGTATATGCCAACTGTGATTCTTTAAAATCTGTGTGATTATGCTGCAAACTTATGGAACAAATAAAACTGACCACTGATGTTTCAAATACTGACAAATGGCTTCAGAGAGAAAATATATAACTATATGCAATATAGGGAATTAGCACATCCACATTACAGTTTATTTGATTATAAGAGGAAAAATCTGAATAGAACTGAGATATTCGCTTAAGTTTCGGCTTCAGCATCTTAAGATCCGACAATTTCCTTTAGTGCTCGTCGTATATTTACACACGAAAATATAGTTCCAATGACCTTGAGGTCGCTCAAACGAGAAAAAAAGATGATGATGATAATGATACTAATATTAACAATAGCCTAAGTAATAATAATCATAATAATAATAATAATAATAATAATTCAAATATGTAGGCCTATTTAAGTTGTAGGCCTATATGTTTATTTTAGGTAGCCTATGCTTGTTCTTCCGAAATTCAACATGCAAATTGTGACATTAGGGCAACACAGAGACGGCTAAACATTCTGGCTATTCTAGATCCAGATGTTTCAGGCAATCCGACATAAGACCATTCTCTGTATATATTTAATGTTGTTGATGCTATGAAAAGTGATGTTTTTGAGCTGTATCATCGGCAATGGATCTAGATAGATTCCTTGCCGTTTCACTTCAAATTTCAGTGGACACATTGTAACATAGCTTGCACAAGTGAACTTAAAACACTTGCTTGTGCAGCCAGTAAAGTAGATCACCATCTAGTGGTGGTTTTGATGTACCAATATTTACCTTGTCATTCGTTCACAATTGAAGAAATAGGCCTATACAATTATGCATATCTCTTATGTATTGTAGTGTATTCGTTTATAATAATATATTATATGGGATAAATTAAACATCCTCCATTTTCGATTAGGATGCTTGCTCTTCAACTCGTTTGGGGAGACTTATACGCTATTGTTTATAGCCTAACGTGCTGTAATAATAATAATAATAATAATAATAATAATAAATAAATAAATAAAATGAAATAAAATAAAAATCTGAATGATTTAAAAGTAGCCTACCATTATAGTCCACCCTATCGCATATTGTAAGAAGGCTTTGATCCGTTTTAAATTGAGGTGTAGGCTAATTTTGCGGTTGTCCTACAGATGACGGCATATTTTGCCTACTATATCATTATGCACTTCAGCACTCGTACGACGATTTTCAATGATAATACGCTTTTAATTACTGTATTTCTAATTTATTAGGGTATTCGTATTGGCCTACCGTTTAAAATAAACTTAGATTTCTTTTTAAGAACATGACCTAGCCTATACGTGGATATTAGGCTACTATTAAGTTATATGATGACAATAGCCTAATTATTAGCTACTCGAAATCTCAAACTTTTCTGAAACAAGGACCACACCAAAAATAGCATTCTAAATAGTAGGCTCCTATTCGGATACAAATAGCTTATGTATACTTATTCCAAATAGGAAAATAACAATAAGCAGCCTTTTATTATTATTATTATTATTCTTTTTTTTTTTTATCAAGACATGACAAATTGTTTTGCAATGGCTAGGCAACTGCAGTCAGATAACATATAAGGAAGAAACAGTACACATTCTCTTGTGGACAGCAAACAACAACAGCAGCAGCAAACAACAACAAAAGCATCATCTAGATCAACATCAACAACAAACCTAATTTTAAATGTTCCACAAAATGTGCTACATTACATTAAAATCAGTTCGATTGCAGCGTATAGAAACAACCCAAGTCCTTACCGTTCAGAGTGTCTGTTGGTCCACGAAGGCAAGAAACAAAAGCTGATGAAAAATCTTTTCGAAGACTTCACAGATCTTCGAAAAGCTTCTCTATCATGCCACAGTGTGCCAAACAGGATGAGCAGTTTTCTCTTTTCCGTCAGTCAACGCTCACTTCGATGGCAGCGAATGTAGAATATTACCTCGAAATTGAAAGACAAGAAAATTACAACGACGAAATTCTGTGTAAAAGCAGAGGTAAAAGAATGCTAGACAAAGCAAGGTCAGAAGAAGAATGCTGCTCTATTTTGGGTAGGGATACATTCACATAAAAAGTTAACGTTCAAGTGGCCTCAGACACGTGACCAACGTGGAAGCCAATAGGAGCTAGCGGCAGCTCATAAAGTTGTATGGCAAAGTAGTAAATTTTCATAAACAACAACAGATTTATAGCTCCTCCAGGAAATAGGACAGAGGTGGGGGCTGGGAAAGCAATGTTTTTAGCCAGACGCCATTTTACAGAGAGGAGGAGCTCACAGGAAAAGTAGCCTAACTCGAAAGACTAAGCCTAATCCGCAGTAGTAGTGTATTAACATTTTTTTTTCATCAATTGTTAAAATTGTCATATTGCTATTAATTTAACCCTAAAGACACCAATGTATTATTATTATTATTAATAATAAAATGTATTTATTAAAATAACATGCGCAAGTAAAAAAAAAAATGAAATCAATGGAGACACAAGAATTAATCCAAATATTTTGAAGGATAACTGATCTATTTGGGTGTTTAAAAAAAAGAAAAAAATGAGACCACAATAATTACACAATCTCTTTTACTTTAGGCATTTCTAATTAAATTAGGGTATGAGTCTAGTGAAGGGTTACAAGAGAAAAGATGAGAAGAAGAGTTTGTATGGAAAAAACATTCTGTGTTCTTGGTGTCTTCATTACCATTTTAGGTGTTAAGTTTCCTTTATGCTCCCAGATTGTACAAACTTCATATTGTTTACAGAGCAATAAAGAATTAAATTGTGGCCATTTGACTTAGGCTATGACTGACTAACCGAATTAACGTTTTAAGACAATAGCATCAAAATATGATATGCGCAAATATGGCTTGGAGTTTTCACATTTGGTGTACCAACCCAACGCCATGTCAAGGGCCTTGAGTCTATGGCGTTGGGCTGGGTTTTGTGAAGTAGGCCTACCGCAAGCCAACCGTTGGTGTTGGCCTGTTACCTTGTCAACACAAAATGATCAACATTTTACGTAAAATGCGCAAATACGTAAAACGATCTAAACATTTCTAGATTTAATCGTTTTAAACTGCACGATTACTCCAAAGAGAGACATCCAATCTATTTAGCCATGCAGGGTGTTACGATCATGTATGTATCATCGCTCCTGACTTATGCAATTGATTCTTGGTTTTGTGTTATTAGATTGATAATTTTAGGCCTAGTTTAAAAGTGTATAGGGCTATGCCGCAAATAGTATTCTGGTCAGTATTGTTAAAAGATTATAGCCGCCTGTTGCAGTATAACATCGGAGATAGAATCATAGTTTCTTTAATAGAGTAGGCTATAAATCTTGCAAGCAGACACAAAGAGAGAAATAAATTATGCAACCAGATACGCATAGGAGATGCTCTAAATTAAAGACACACTGAGTAATTAATTTATTACCACAGAGCCAAGACATTAAAACGTTTACGACTTCACACATGCATGAACAGCTGCATATGGCTAATGGCTTAATGGTATACAGTTACATGACACGACTCTGTATAGCTTCTGACACAATAATATAAGAAAACCTACAGAAGATAGACTATACATCTTAAGCTGTCTCAAACAAACGTGGAAGTCATACCTTGCGTTCTCATTTGAAGATACACATCCGACTGGTTGATCTGTTCGTGCCTTATGAATTTGGGGGCAGGATATGTCCATGTCCTTTCTAAATCCCCGATGAGACACAGCTTCATGTCATGTGTAAGTAACATTAGAAAGTAATTTCCCCCTGCTTTAGACGACCATTTGTTTTACACAAAGCAACATTTCTGGCCAGTGCTGAAGAAGAAGAGTGAGTGAGTGCACGCTGCGCTATGACAAACATTCCAATTTAATTTAAAATCGTATTTTTTTCATCGTCCAGAATTGTTGAGTAGAAATCCTTGCTGTCGTTTTTACGAGCCAGTGTGATATACAATCCCATTACAGCCAGAGTTCATATTAAATACCACTTCACTGGCATTGGGTCCATGAAGTCACATGATTACTCCGCAAGCACTTAAACAGCCAATTGCAAGCATTGCTTTTGCCGTTTTTTTCTTGCAAGAGCAGTATTAATATCTAAATCAGTCAATGGTCCGCTGAAAATGATCAGAATTCTATGAACATTAGGCTATTATTTCAAAATATAGTTTTATTTAAAAATAAGAAACAAGACTTTAGAACCTTTTTGACTTAATATAGTCTTCGAAAAATCTATTGAATTGGCAGAACACGTTAATAGTTTTTATTTATTTTTTCATTTTTTAAATTAGAAGTATATTTATTTTAAAGGTTCAAAACATCAAAAGGAAACGTTTTTTTTAAATTAGAAGTAGGCCTATATTTATTTTAGGCTACAGGTTCAAAACATCAAAAGGAAAAGTTTTTAACAATTAAAATTCTATTGTACTTCGTTTTATTGGCCTACATTTCATTGTTGTGAAATAGAAAAGAAGAAAAATAAAGAGTAAAGTGCATAAAATGCAATTTTATTTTAAAAGACGAGCCCTGCATACACGTAACATAAACAATATAATGGAAGGAATTTATAATGTAGATAATTCTGCCAAAAGAAACCAGTTTTTGAATTGGGTGTTCCAATCTCAGGTCTACTAAGCTTTTTAAAAGATAATCAGAGCATTTTTAAACGTGCAACAGTTTAAAGTGAGATGTTAAAATGTAAACCAGATAGCCTATCTACACTCTAAAAACGCTGGGTCGAGTGTAGTTTTTTATTTTATTTTTTTATTTTTTCACAGGAGAGCACACAATGTAACGCCAAATAGGCCTATTAAGAATTGTGATATTGTTTTGGTAACGCTGTATATTTTTATTCGACGTCACTTTGCAAACGTGAAAATTGGCATAGGCCTACAATTTTTGATTCTCTGACGGCTTTATGTGCTCCTTTCACCTCCAAAAATGTCAAAGTTATTACACTGTGGACTTTAGTACAATTTGTAAGACAAAGAAAACTCAGCCTATTACAAAATAAGGGCTTACCAGTTATTACGTGTAATTCTGCTATAGCAGACTAAATGTTAGTCTAAATTGAATGAATTTTAGTTTTTTTAGATGACATTTTAGATTAATTTAAGATTAACTCATTGTTAGATCGATGTTAGTCTCAGACTTGCAGGAAGGACCTCATAAAAATCCCAGAATTGTTTGGGATATTAGTCAAATACCTTAGAACTTCAGTAGACCGCAAAATGTGTGCCGATATGCATTCATAGTTTCAACATATAAAAACCAAAACTGGAGTAGTTTAATCATTTAAATAAATGTTCTATAAATGTACCCTATATTTTTGTAAGATATTTTAAAAAAAACTTAATTAATAAAAACAATAAATAGATATTTTCTATATGGATAGAATGTGGAATTGTATTATTAACATTAATATAGGCATACTTAAATGCTAAAATAAATAAATCTCTTTCGGTACTTCAATACTGACTAATTAAAAATCGAGTAGCCTATATAAACAGGCTTGACTCATAAACCAGACAGCGCTCAACTGATTTTGCTTCACTGTTACACACTGTTACAATGTAAGTTGTAATTATTGCTTTACATTTACAATAGAAGAGAGAACATCAAACCGTTTTTTTGTTGTTGTTTTTTTGTTTTGTAATTCCATCACACAAAAATGAAACAAATGAAACCATAAAAAATAGGAACATGGAAGCTCTTATTGGAAATAGGTTATAGGCCACTCAAAACATTTCTCAAAGATGAGGTTTTACTGACATCAAGTGGTCAGACTGTATAACAATGCAAGCAACTGCAGCCTCCATTTTTGTTTGGACGCCCACGATTAAACATTGTGTTATGACCAAAATAATTCCCCCAAGTGAAAGCAAGAATATGATTTTTATGATTTTTTCCATAATTCTCATTTTATAAGTGAGTAGGCTACTGTTTTTGGAAGAAAAAAATCTGGAGAATTTGCACTGACGCCTCCATTTTACCATGTAAAAGTAGGCTATAAAGGGTGCCGTATAGGGTAAACTGCAATAAGAGACCAATAAAAATAGATTATTTCCGCTGGCTTTTTGTGCACGAAGTCGAGTCTCCCTGAAAGCGGAGGCAACTGAAGAAAAAAACAGCACCTCTCCAAATGGGTGCCGGGCCTCTGGAAACGGTCTAATTGTGTCTGTACGGCCATAAAGCCATTGAAAACAGAATGCCAATGTCTGTTGCCTCGTCTGCGATTCATTGCCTTGTCTCCATGAGGAGACCTTTAAGTCAAAGTCCTATATCTGTGACACTTATGGGCTTCCTCCAGGCTATAGCCAGGCCTCACATATTCATATTTATATTTTAAGGTTTATTTTAGCTATGTTTAAACAGACATAATCTAAAATAACACACCGAAATCCATATCATTAATCACCTCATCATGGAGGTTCTGCTCTCTTAATTCCACAGATTCATGCACACATGGTGCGTTGTTCACTTAGCCCAGCTGTCGAGTCTCATAATATCTCTGTTGTGTTGCGTTCTTTCGCCTCACAGCGCTTTGCACACCATAAACGGTTATAGCAGTAATTGTCTTTTATGGCAGCAAGCAGCTAACAACCTCATCTGCCAGACCGGTCTACAAGACCGCTCTCCCCGACTCCAAACTCGCCCGGCATACCCTAGCCTCAGAGAGCATTCCTCAAGAGCTGATGGCAGGTCTTGTGAAATGGTTTTGAGTAAAGTACTATAAGCCAAAATTAGCGTATAAGATTGTAAGGTTTTAACACTCTTAGTTATACACCTACTTCTTATTATTATTAATGTTATTTACATATCGTTTTGCGGTTTTTTTTCTTTTTCAAAAACAGGTGTTCCTACTAGGCTATAAAAAATAACCTCTCAATAACCTTCTCAATGAATCCTTTTAATTAGGACTGTTTACACAGCATCCATTAAAGTAAAACAATAAACCAACAGCAACCAATAAAAATGAAACAATTTCATTAATAATATATAGGCCTATATATATATAAATAATAATAATAATCTAGTAGGCCATATATTTCCCTTCCACCGATGCAAAATACAACTTTACGAAAAAGTCTGAAAAGGAAAAGCACAAGAAAATCTACCAAAAATTACACAAATAAAATTTTACATGTAGTCTACAAGCAATTTATTAGGCTACATCAGGTTATATTACAACTTAATTGTTATTTAAAAAAAATCACGAGGAATACAAAATGTAAGGGAGACTTGTTTGGAGATATGAATTGCTTTATTATTCAATAAATAAAATCACAAATGGCATCTGAGAAAATAGGTAAACAGTAAACAAAACAAAAAAAATAACAAAAAGAATATGGCGGTCAACAGACCATGAGGTATTTGTAAAGTTGCCTACAGTGCTTTTATTTCTATAGCTCACAATCTAACTTGACTTGTTCCCTGAAGTTCGCAGACTTCACCCATTATCCAGCCTGTTCTCACCATTATCACATCGTGTGTAATGGCGTGAAAATGTTGGTCGATTCAAAACAAATAGGTAGCCCAGTGAAGTGTCATATTTAAAAAAAATAATCTAAGGCCACATGATCTCAAGTGTATTAGTACCTTTACATAAAATTGGGCCCAATATTTCTAAGCAAATTATAGTAATAGTTACAGATTAAAAGAAAATGTTAATTAGCGGTCTGAAATACACACCTGCAATCGAAGAGGAAGAGCACATAGCTCCGACATATTTATTAACTTCTAATAAATTAGGTCTAAATTAAATACAGATTGTTTTAAGGCTGCATCAGTGATCGTCTGAAACATTGATTTGTGCCGTATTCATTAAAATGGATCCACGTATGAGAAATAGCCTATAACTCAATAAAACAACACAATCCCAGCATGCTTTAGGCCTATTTAAGTCAAATATGGTTTGTTTGAAAAGAATGACATCTAATGTAAAATCCCATGACAACATTTGAGTAAAAGGATGTATCAGCTCACATCCTCACATATACGAAGTGCTTCATTCGTCCTTCGATCCATCTCTTTTAAATTTTTTCATCTTCATCCTGCGGTTTTGAAACCAAATTTTGACCTGTCTCTCCGTGAGGTTCAGTAGACGGGCGACCTCGTACCGCCGGTCGCGCGTGAGGTAAGTGTTAAATAAAAATTCTTTCTCCAGCTCGAGGATCTGGTGCTTAGTATACGGGCAGCGTTTTTTACGCGTTGAGCTCGCATGAAGCCAGTTGGACACAGGGTTTTCTGGGGAAAGGTATAGAGGCATGTGGGAAGGAGGGTTTCGAAATCATAAGCGAGTAGTACATCGTTTACACAATACCCTATCTAAAATCCAGACGATGGCATAGGCTAAATCAGTTACCCAACCCAAACTATGCCCCAGAGTCTCGTAACAGTCACAAACAATGTCAAATATTTTGCTGTCAAATATATTACCGCAGTTAAATAATCGTGTTAAATACATAAGAAAGGTGCATAATATAAGTTTAATATTATTGTACTTTCGCACCATCTGGTCAGCCTTACCTGGATTAGCGCCCGGTTTCTCCTCGATATCGCCTCCCTTCTCATCAGTCCGGCCAGATACTTTCTCTGTGTCGGTAGAGCATCTTCCGTTAATGAAGCCTCCGGGAGGGAGTACGACATGTGAACTGGCCTGACTGGCCTCTGTGCCGTCCTCATTCGTTCTATTTGTATCGGGTTTGGTATGATAGTGATGATGTACCGTCGGTAGCTCAGTGAAAGGCAGCCCACATGCAGAGTCCAAAAGCCAAGACTGCACGTAATCCCCAGCTACTGGAGGCTGTGTATGCGGCGGATACACTGACGGTACACCACTGGAGAAATGCGTAGGGATGTGGCCCCAACCTGAGCCACCATAAACGGCTTGCTTTGCCGGGAATGTGCAGGGGCCGATCTCTGTATGATCTGTGGGTAAAACGGAGGGCCTGTGCTGAATGAGCCCTGAACCTGAGGGAAAGCGAGTCTCCTCGTTGTCCGGCATAACAAGGGAGTCAATATAGTATCCTGTCAAAGCTCCAGATGTCGACATGGCAGGCATGCACTCTCATGCATACACACACACACACACACATAAAAACATTCACACACACATACAGTAACACGCTCACAAAATAACAATCTGTGAAAATGGAGAGGCAACTTCCCCCTCGCAAAGCCCCAGTCAGCTAATAAGTTGAGAGCAAACTGCCATTTGATTGGGTGAGGTACACACGTGACCATTTGGGACCGCACAATAAAAAATAAAAAAAAATCAATGGAATTTCTGAAAAAAGAGAGAAAAAAATGCATTGGTTCAAATTAAACTCTTCTACCTGAATAAACCTCAGTCGAATAAGCTTTACAAAGAATATACAATTTTTTTAAAAAAAAAAAGCTATACAAAAAAGGGTTTTCTTTTCTTTCTTCAGACAAAAGCCATGGTCAAGAGACGTTGCCAGAAATTTAATCAAAGTATCAAACTGACACTATGGTGTTATCTTTATTATTAGTATTAAAAGCGCTTTCATTTTTCATAAGTGGTCCTTACATTTTCTCTACCAAGTCAGTTTGAATGTAATAACCACTTTGTTTTTAATTGTCTATTCGATTGAGTTGATCGTTAATATAATAGTTAATATAATGCATATAATGTATAGCCATTAACTGTCAATTTTTATTTATCATTCATCATATTCTTTATGGATTTACTACCTTGTTTGAGACATGCAATGCTTCTGTTTGGCAACAAAATTTTTGTGTATTTTTTTCCTGTTGCAGTTTGTTGATTTTCAGTATTTGCAAATACAGACGATTCTGTATAATCAATAATTAGTTATCTCTTTGCACCATTACAGTATATTCTCAGTCATACGGAACATTTAGGAATAATGAACTGTGTGAAGAGTATATTCAATGCATAAAGGACATAAATGCTTGCTGCATGCTGAACACCAAGAGAAAACATAAATGAACAGAATTAGCTGACCATATCTTCCCGTGCCGTCGTGTAAATAACAATACATCAAACAATGTAACAATATAACCATTTACTAACAACTGTAACCATTTTATTTTAACAAAGTGTAACTAATCCCTCTAAATTTCTTTGGTCAGAAAAATAGTAAAGGTAACACGTTACAATGAGGTTTCATTTGTTAACATTAGCTAATGCATTAACAATATGAAATAAATATTATTACAGCGCTTATTAACCTTTCTTATTGATAATTAATAAAATGTTCACATTTAAATTTAACAGATAACTTTCGGTCTTAAAAAAATAGTAGTAAATTTTGAGATTAACATCATTAATAAATCAAATGATTGCATTGTTAGTTCATGTTAACCAATTAAACCTTATTGTAAATTGAAATAGTATTATAACGATGCTATTATTATTATTTAAAGTATAATAGGCTATTAGTTAATATTATGTTATATTTAAATATTATTATTATAAATGTTGTTGTTGTACGTTTTATTCGGCAAACATTGCCCATAAATAGATTGAATATTGTTAAGTGTATGCTTTAGATATAAATCATGGTAGCCTAAAAAAGAAGAAAATAAAACAGAATTGCATGTTTAGGAGGACTGCATATATTTAACAGCAAAATCAAACAATATAACACAAAATGCGTAATGCAAGAAAACTCAAGTAAAAACGAGAAGCTCAAGTGAAAACGAGAAACTAATTACTGTTTTTTTTTTCAACCTTTTTGTTCTTTTATGTTTTAATCAGGTGTATTTTCAACAGCCATAAGTACAAATAAAGAAAGCCTAATGTGCATCGGCTCAGTATCATGAGCCTCCTACAGTAGGCCTATATGACCTATATATATATTATAAAATGAAATAATTTTTCACATTGCTTATTGATCCACCAGTGGTTACCAGAAGGGTATTCAGAAGCATTTACAGCAGGAAACACCACTACAAAAGAAGAACAGAGAGAAAAAGAGACGGAAACAACATGGTCCTTTGAAGCCGTAAACTGCGATAGGGTGTTTGTTAACACAAACGAGATTTACCATAGGCGCTATTCATGCTTTCTCCTTTAGCTGTACTGGAGTGCCACCATAAAACAAATCTTGTATTTTGTATTCAGCCACTTATACACAGCGCAAGGCGAAAGCCAGGAAGGCAATTTCTTTAGCTCAGTGGAACGCCACCGAGGTCGCTGTTGCTTACAGCAGACGTGGCCGATTGCGGTGTATTGGACGTAACCGAGGCCTTGTCAAGGCTGTCTACATTGAGTTCGACAAATCAGTGTCTGCCATCAGCCCGGTTCACTAGCAGAGCGATAAAAAATAAATAAATAAAAACTTATGATGATTATGTTTAAAAGGAGCTTGCATTTCGTACAATTGAAAAAGCAAGGCTGTAAAATGTATAGGCTACTGATCATTTAAATACGCTGGGTCTGTTTCGATATCCAAAGATTAAAAAAAAAAAGTTGGTTACTGACGAATAAAACTGGGGCAATTAAGACAGCTTCGTGTTGTAGGGTTTAATTATACAATCCCAACAACATGAAACTACCTAAACCACTCGACAGTCTGGTTCAAAACTTCAGAAAAAAACGAATCTAAACAAATCTTCGGCATTGTCTTAAATTTAACCTTTACAAACAACTGTAAAACAACATGCATTTTCCGTAACAGCAAAGACTAATGTCAGCACCTTACCTGTGTTAACTTGGAAGAAAAAAAACAACAACAACCAAAATTGACTCTTTTCCAACCCTTGAAATCCGAACGTCTTTATTCGTGCCTCTATCCAGTCTCTACTGAGGGTAGGCTATAGTCACATTTAGAAAAGTGACGAGCCTCATAAAGTAGCCTGCAATAAAACGCCACAAAAGCGGACTAAACTCGTGTAGACAGTGTCTATACATGTTGTGGCCGGTCGCTGAAATAAATAGGCTACATTTCCGTCGGAGAGAACGGGAAACGAAAGTTAGGCTATGACTTAAAAAACCTAGAACGTATTAAATGTCGAAAATCCGTTTTGTTGTCAAAGTGAAACTCAACAAATGTCAAGTAAACGCAATATATATATATATATATATGTATATGTATAGAGAGATAGAGAGAGAGAGAGAGAGAGAGAGAGAGAGAGAGATAGATATATATATATATATAGAGAGATATATATATAGAGAGATATAGAGATATGTATGGAAACGCAACGTTGTAGCCTATTCAAGCACATTCTAATCTATATCCAAAGTCAATTTTTTTTCTTTTTCGTTTTTTTCCCTTTTCATAATTTCTTTAGGCCTACACAATTCGTCGTTCAACGACCTGGGTATTTTCAAGATGTTTAGATAACCAAGTAGCCTATGCTAGTAGCCAATGTTAGGCCTAGTAGCCTAATTTGTAGGCTATAAAAAAATAAAGCCCCTGTGCGTGCACGGTTTCAAAATATTTTAACGTATTAGGCCTATGATTCTATAAAAATGCACAGCCTACCACACAATTAAATTAAACATAAAAACACTAATATATTAATTTCAATATAATCAATAATCTGCAATTAGGCCCTATATGTTTTTTTTTATTTTTCACAATGCTGGGTGCTGTCGCATATTGCAATAACAAAGTGAAATTGTTAATATTCCATGCGTTGGTAGCCTATAGGCTTTGAACCACATGATTATCATCCTCGAAAATCAGATAACAATCTCGAAGAAAAAGAAGATGCAGAAAACAAGTAGCCTATAAAATATGTGTGTCCGTGAGTCTTTTCTGAGGTATAGGCTAATTTCTCCACTTTTTATATGGTGGTTCTAGGGAACTATTTTGACTTTCCTTGCCTATTGGTTCTAGGCGGCGCTCCTGAGTCAAACTATATACCCTATATAGAGTGTAGACTAGAGGAACCTCTTCTCCAGCTGTAAGGTTTGTTGATTAGTACAAGGACAGTTCTTCTTCCGGGAAGTCTTCCGTTAGCCAGTTTGTTGAAAACTCCATGTTTCATGAGATCTAGAATTATTAAAGGACAGCTGACAGTAGAATGGGGAAGTGTTTGTTTCATGGTCAATAAAATAAATTAGAGTGTTGTTCTCAAAATTAAACACAAAGTAACAAGACTTTAGATCCCAATTTTTAGAAGGCTACGAACTAATATCAATAATCTTATAGGCCTAATTGATAGCATGAATAGGCCTACAGTTGATCTTTATTTCCAACGCTGTTATTTCTGTATACATTATTAACAGTTTTAACCAAAAGTGACATTCTTTTAAATATATTATATTTTAGTAATTAATTGGCTTATTAAACACACAGTATATTTAACACAGTTTAGTAGGCTTTAGTAGGTATCTAAACCTTTTTTCTTGAGCAATGCATTACCTATAGCCTATGTTTGTTGTTTATAATATTTACCTTAAAACTAAATATCTGGAAATATAGGCCTAGCCTATACTTTTAATTAAATAAATTCATTTATTTTCTGCACCAGATTCATACATTAATGGCTTCAAGTGTAAAGTTAAAGGTATGGAGAGCAGACCAAGAACAAACCGATTACCTTACCTTTGTCACATTACACCGAACAATAGGCTATATCAAGTATTTGTTCTGTAGGTTTGACACATTTTCCAAATGTGTTTTGTTTCTTGTGCTTCATCCTCATCGTTTTCATCGGTCGTTCTGACAACACTATTACCATCTCCATCTTGTCCCTTGATACTAGCCTATAAGCAGCTATATAGTAGAGACAGGATTCGACGTCTGATGGCCTATCTGATTCCTGCAAGATAGCTAAAGTTATCGGATGCATAAGTCCGACGCATCCCGTGAACCATAATCCTCACTCACTGTGACTGTCTGCTTCTTCAATGCACTTCCGCTACTCGAACAACATGCCCGTCTTCTTTGATGTCCTGAGGACAGAGATAAAAAATCTATTCACGATGCGAAACGAGCTTCTCCAGACCACGTCGCCATAGTGGTCACAGTTATGGTCTGAACAGCCCCGTCTGTTTAGTTTTGTTGGTTTATAAATAAAACAAAATATAAAATAAAATAATCTTCCAAGTCAGATGCTAAACTTCAGCTGCTAATGCAGGTCAACCTGTCAGGTTCAGTCCGCTTATTAATTAAGGAATCCACATGATGCTCTCTCGCCGCTAACTGGATACTCCATTACCGGAAAGTGTTTGGAGATGAGAAAGGATGGGCGTCATTTGGGCTATACTTCGTTTGACAAACTGGATGTAAAAAGGTGCCCTCGTTCAATTCAGTGCGCACATTTCAACCAGTGGAAGCCTAGAAACACAAAGCCACACCCCTTCCATGCCTTCGTCACCTGTCTGTGGCATAGCAGCAACTTTTGGACTGCAGAGGAGACCATGTGGGACGGCTAGATTCTCGAAGTAGAGCTAAGACGTGTGTATGTGTGGAATTGCGGGTTGCCACAAACTTTTTTTCACCCTTAGTGTTTGAAGAAATACACAACGCTTACACTCTAATAATGCTGGGTTGTTTCAACAGATGTTTGGGTCAAATATGGACAAACCTATTTGTTTCAAAATCACAAAAATATAAACGAACTGTTGTGTTTCTACACATTTGACCCAAACATGGATTAAAACAACCCAGCATTTTTTAATGTAAAGCCGACCAAACAGCTAGGCTATTTTAAGATGCATGCTAGTTTTAAAGACTTTTTAAAAGCATATTGGCCTATAGCCAACTCGAAATCGGGTCAGTGTGCGTGTTACTAACAATTAAATATTAATGTCGATTCTTTAATACACTCTAAAAAATGCTGGGTTGTTTTAACCCAATTTTGGGTCAAATATGGACAAACCCGAAATGTTGGGTTAAAAATGTAATGTAAAAATTTAACCCAACGTCTGGGTTAGTCCATATTTGACCCAAAGTTGGGTTAAAACAACCCAGCATTTTTTAGAGTGTAATATTTGTAGAATTATGTGTGGGATAGACTTTCTGGTGCACAGATGCAAAGTACCGTCATCAAACTTGGCCAGAACAGGCCTATTACACTCTTAAAAATGCTGGGTTGTTTTAGCCCAATTCTGGGTCAAATATGGACAAACACAAACATTGGGTTAAACATGTAATTTAAAAATGTAACCCAACGGCTGGGTTTGTCCATATTTGACCCAAAATTGGCTTAAAACAACCCAGCGTTTTTTAGAGTGAACATCCACATGCTAAAATAAAATAAAACAAAAACACTGACAACACAATGTTTCTTGTAAAACACACGCAGTCCGATATGAGACTGCACTCTAAAAATGCTGTTTCAACCCAACGTTGGGTCAAATATGGACAAAGCAGCCGATAGTTTACTTTTTTTTTAATTACGTGTTTAACCCAACGTTTAGGTTTGTCCACATTTGATCCAAAATTGGGTTAAAACAGCCCAGCGTTTCTTAGAGTGTGACGCTGACACTGACTGGTTAAAATTCATGTTTAAAAATAAACGTGAAATGGGGATTATCAACACGATCTCATAAAAGTGCGTACCTACCACGAATTTAATTTCTCGTGCTATTTATACACTCTTTTTTTTTGCGTGCATATGCTACGCTGTAAATCTTTTATACACGCAAAAACTATTTTTGGCGTATAAATGGTACCTTTAAAGACAATCCCACCATAGGACCATTTATTTCTTTTTCGATATTTTAAGTTTTAAAATAAGGGTGATGTAACCCTTAACTTTTAAATGTAAATTTAAAACAGTGTGAATTTAAGGAACTGATATTCAACTAACTAATATTCTTTCATGCTTTGCACTAGTTTCATTCTTCCTTCTCCACTTATTTTCTATTATGCCCTGTAAGCCTTTATTTTGGGGATAGGGCTTTGTAACATTTAATTAATATTATTATTATTATGGTTGTATATTGTTTGCCTTATGTAGCCTACAGCCCATATTTAACACCATCCTAAGACAATAATCTATGGAAAGTTGTCTTAGGTGTCATTCAATGGTTAGATTCGTGCAGTCTATGTAAAATAAATACTAGGTCTAACAACAAAGACTTGGTTTGGGGACTACACAAACTTTTAGGCATTACAATTTCAGTCCTCATCAAAATAACAACAGCTGGCCAATTCCTACTTTAATTTTGGTCGATCTAAATCTCATCTTTGATAACTTTTAGTTATAGGCCTAGGTACCAAATTTCAAATGTCAGATAAACTCGGCACTTTTGCACGTTTCTTTATTTGCAAGATCGAGTTCGCTGTAAGAGAAACCCAAGAACAAAAATCTCTCATTTTATTGCTATCAGCTGAAGCATTTATTTTGCACCAGAGACGAATTGTCCACGCGCACTGTAACACTAGCTACCCCATTCGTCTGCTCTACTTTTCATGCTGTTACTGAATCCCTCTTGCGGAAAGTCGCGATAATGTATCACAATACAAACACCATTTATAATGAAATTTGTCAGCCGAAGAGAGAAAAAAAAAGAAATGTGCAGACAGCATACTCGCTGTTAGCTAGCTATATTCTCCAGTTAATGCTCAATGATCGCTGAAAGCTCGAATGAAAATATACGTCATTTCTGAGCCCACAATAAATCCTTAATTACAGCTGGCAATAAATCACCATAAACATTTTTTGTAAAGCATTAATCTAACAATTGTGCCAAAAATATATAAGCGAAGACGCATATATCTTTTGTATCCATTAATGCATTTCTTAAAACACGGAGCATATTAATTTGCCATAAACTTTTTGATTCAGTATAAGTGAAATGTTAATGCCCTCATATTTTACCCTCTCATATTTAATATAGCCTAATAAGAACAGTAGACGTTAAATGCGTATTCTGGATCCAGACAGTTAAAGTTGTGGAATGTTTTAGTGACTGAATTCAAGGGAGTTCGGTTGGAACACCTGCAATGATCTCAAAAGATCTGAGTCTGCAGTCGATGATCCACGGCCATGACATTGATCTCACGAGTGCCTCCCAATGGAGGCCGTTTGAACATGCTCATGATGGGACAGTTATTATTGAAAGTAAATAGACAGAAAAACACATTTTCAAAAAAAAAAGAAAAGAAAAAAGAAAAAAATTAAGCAGATAAAACAGCACAATGCGCCTCAAGAAAAAAAGTGTTAAATTAATACAACAGCACAAGAGTCACTTCGTAATGCCGCCCCTCAATATCTCTTTGCCTTTGTCCCCTTGGAATCGTGGCTAATAACCTTGGTTCTCAGACAGTTTATGGCACTACACAGCAATTGCCCAAATGCTCCAGACACAGACAGCTTTTATGGTCGTGTTGCTGAAGCAACAAGGAGGATGTCCCTGTAATTAGGCGGATATACCTCAGCGCCTCAAAGGATGCACCAGCCAGGCCAAGTCGCTCTGCAGCAAGCAACCATAAAGCTCAGTCTTTCTCTCCCCCTCTTATACTTTCTACTTTCTTTCTCCCTCCATCTGACTCAGTTTATTGCTCGTAGGCTGCCATAGCCTATATGAACGCTACGGGTACGGCCATAAACATTCAGATGATAACTGCAAATACTGTAACCACAGTGCTATTGTAAAACTGTCAGGTTACAATTGCTTTATCCCATGATCCGAGAGAGTTCTTGAGAAAAACAACAACAACAATAAACAAAAAAAATATATATTGTTCTTCATTAATGCACATAATGCGCACTCGTAGTATAGATACGCATCTTCATGAGACTGTGTTGTTATGTTCATGCAAAATGTTACCTATACAATTGTAAGAGAACGGTGTACTACAGATATACTTTGTAACTCTTTGGTTATTTAATTTAGGAAATATATGTTAAACAGATGATTTTCTGGATTACAATCGACCAAACCTTATTTTTAACCTAATGACAATGTACATCACGGTGTAGAATATGGGCAAATAAGTTTCTTATGAGAACAGTTATGTAAAGAGTCCACTTCTTAAAGATGACCTTATTCGAGTCCGGAAATGTTTTTTATGGCTGGGATGAGATTGAGCGAGTTTGCATTTTCCGTGCAGTCAACTAGCATTGTCTCTTTGTTCAGAGTTTGCACCAGGTGAAAACTTTGAATATAATGAGTACACAGTTGTTTGTAATGAGTTTAAATTTACAATCCCGAGACGGCATGTAGAAGAAAGTGTTATTGCTTAAAGTGTTCACTAACAAAGATGGTGGAAATTCCATTTGCTAGCAAATTAAATAAATAATTCGAAAATTGGGTGCAGTCTGCTTCTAGCACTTTTTATTCTGTTTGGTCACACCAAAGTCATTAGGCCAACTTGTACAACATTCCTCCACAGAAATTAACACGCCATACGAATGGCCTGTCAAGTCTCTCCTTGTGTAGACCCATATATTTTAGCCATTTGCACTCAATCTTCGCGTGTCCATCATAAATGCAAGGGGAGAAGTATAGCTACTTGTTTACTGTGTATCACGAGCGTATAATTAAAACATTTCTGTTCGCCACAAAATTGTATAGGCCTACGTTTATTTTTTACGAGCATAAAACTTAAAAACGTACTTAAATTATGTGAATTTAAATGTCATAGGCCTATATGCTCTCTGTAATTGTATACAAGTGAATGGTGCCTTGTCACGAACTTGAAGTTAACCGCTGAGAGTCTATATAACGTCTCTTATGTGATCTCATTATTGCAGCTGTTGTATATTCTAATATCTGTTGATATTTCCTTCTTCTAGAGCAGTGGGTTGGTGTAGTACTGTAACCGGTCCCGATTTAGTTTCTTTTCCTTCATGCGCCGGTTCTGGAACCATATTTTTACTTGGCGATCGGTGAGGTTAAGCATCCGTGAGAGCTGAAGTCGTTTTTCTTTGTTGATGTACACGCTGAAGAAGAATTCCCTCTCTAGCTCCCGAATTTGAAATTTAGTGTAGGGGCATCTCTTCTTGCGTACCCTGGGTCCACCTGAGACATTGAAAAAAAGCGTCATTGCTCTAGATTTAGATTATGATAGCTTATACAATATTGGTTATTGAGGTTATTAATGTCATATATATATATAGCCTAAACCAATATATTATTTATTATTACATATAGGCTAGGCTATATTATAACATTCTATTATTCGGCCTATTGTCATTATTAATAGGCTAATAGTAATGGTTGTCAGCGTTATTATTAAATATGAAAACAATAAGTCGAACAGTTTTATTTTAGCCTATAAGCTATTTTTTATCAAAAGCGTTGTAAAATTATATACAGGATGTAATAGTATATTCTTATTTTTGAAACAGTGGAAAAAACATGCATGAATTACCAGAGACACACGAGAAGCATGTTACAAATGCTGTGAGCATTCCCGTGAAATCACTGCGGTCACTTAAACGCATTTTAAAGTTCAAGTTAAAATTGCGTTAGCTTTGAGTCTTTTCATGGCCAATTTCAATTCCAAGCACGTGATTCTCACAGTTTATAAGTAGCCTAGGTTTTGTTGGGAAAATCTCAGGCCCTCTATAAACCTTATACGCTTATAAAACAGCATATAAAATTTTAACAGGAGCGGCAAGATTGCAAACTTTCTCGCATGACAGTCTCGCTGAGCTCATACTTACTGCTCGCACCGATAGTCTTTTCCTCATTGTTTCCGGAAGAAGATTCGGGACTACTGGTCTCCCGTCGCTCTTTTCCTTCGGAGTCCTGCTCCGGCGCTGGCGTTGGCTGTTTGCTGGAGTGCGTTTTATCCCTCGCTGCAAAGTCGCTGTTCGCTACACTGTCCGAGCCGCCGTAAGCGTTGTCGAAAAACTGGTCAAATGCTTGAGGAAGCACCCCGTTTCTTCCAACACTGCCGTAGAAATTGTGCGCGGAGGTCGAGTTCGATGTAGAGTGATAATACCCAGATGTATTATTTTTAGGGAACATTTCACCAACTGTCGTTGCCGCTGGTAAACACTCCCTGTGTACAATGTCCTCCGACGGATAACACTGAGCCAGTGGACCCCGGTGAGTCCATTTACCGGACGCGTCAATAGCATAGTCACGGAATGTAACCTCCCTGACATGCTGTACCTGAGGCAGGTTAGAGGAGTAAGAGTAGGTGACGGGACGAGAAGACTGACTTTGAGATAGAAAAGAGGGCAACGTGGAGAAATCAGCACCCGGAACGTAATATGTGCAGCTGGGCAGATACATGTTGGAGCCAACGGAAACCCTCTCGTCAAAATCCATCATTGTACCCGCGCATCGTCTAGCTTGGGCTAGCGAGACCTTTACGCAACGCCCACAACATGCTCTCATGTGCGCGTGCCTCTTACCCGAGTTGTAGGGGTATCGAGAGGCAGAAATGTTGAGACGTAAGATGACGTGGAAATTCATCTCTGTCCAGTCCAACTGAGCCCAGGGTCACGTGATCTGGAAAATAAATTGATAGATCCTCGCTCACTGTTTTTATTGACGAGAAATCTATCCGTTTCAACTGAATTACGAATGTATTTGTAGCCTGATGTCTTTGCGAAATATAGTTTGTGACGATTAAAAAATCTCAGTTGAGGCGGCGGACATAATCAGGATTGTGTTCAATTGACAGGGATGTTTCAATATATGAACTGAAAAATAGACGTTATGATGTATTACTGCTCTTTAAATGAAATTCTAAAAAATAATTAGACTATAAAGTATTCCCAGAATTGCCCGTATTCTTTCAACTTTATAAGTCAGGAAAACATAAGTTTCTGTTTGCGAGCGAGCAATGCCGCTACAGCAAACGGCAAACAAGTCTTTCTAAATAAAGGCTGTTGAGAAAAGTGAATGGTTTCTGTAATCCAGAAATCATAGGCCTAAAACAAAACATTTGGAAATATATTCACTTTACCACAGTCTTTCAATCATATTTCTTGTTTTGTTTTCATTAAGTTAGCCTACTTGACACAAAAAAACTGCAAGCAGTGATAGCAGCATGACATTTAAAAGTTAATGATTAGCCTATAAATCTGAATGATTATTCGTAATAATTTGGCCTATATCGTTAGGCTACTTCTCTGTTCGGTTTTCTTCAATAGTCTACTCATTCCAAAGGACTAACAAACTACCTTCAGATGCATCACCGGGGCCACTTTGTGCGTAAACGTGACATAGGTCATAGGCCTCAAGTCATAGGCCTAGAGGTCTACTAAATAATTTATACATAATTTAAACTTCAATTCAAGAATTCCACAGTCTATACCGGGACCTTTTTTTTATAGGCCTAACAAAAACTATAAAATTTCAGAACCTTGTTATTGTTTTTTTAAATATCCTCCGTGTGACATTTTTTTCTGGCAGCTCTTCTAGAAAAGTTTTTTTTTTTTTTTTACTTTTGAAAGACCCGAGGACAAAACAAACTAACCGTAGATTTTAAACCCGGATTAGGCCGGTAAAGGCCTCGCCTTTCCACAACATATTACCCTTAATCCCCACGTGCCTCTGAGGAACTCTGAGCCTCGTTTAGTGCAACGTTTAAGGTTTGCAGGGTGTGATTGTCGGGCTTTTTAAAATGTTCTGATTATACGATTATATTATCACCAGTAATAGGTTGATAGCGTTAGAATGACACAAACAGAAAATCGGTGGCCCCGAGACCAGATGCTCCGCCTCTTCACAACTCGTGACAAATTCCGCGTGCTTTAAAGTTGTGCTTTAAAGCTTCCAGCATTTTGGACCAAGTGCAACGGAAACCTGTGATAGGCAAGCATAGATTTTTATACAATTTGTACGATCTATATAGTGCAACCCCCTGTGGGCCTACATCTTTTCTTTCTTCTTTTTTTACACAACAGAACTACGCTGCTCAGCTAAGATGAATGGGTAGCACTGACGCATATCTCAGCTAAAGACAACAATTTCTCTGTACTCCAAAAAAAGTAAGTGACTCTATAGCGAAGCGCTACGGTTTAAGAGCAAGGTTAGATTGGTTTAGACAAAATAATAGCCTTTTTATAATAACATGAACATGGACTGAAATAATAAGAATAGCCTATATGAATAATACGATAATGTCATACGGACATTAACATCCAACTACATACAGGCCTACATTTTTCTAGGAGATTGTATCAACTTGCTATATATATAGTTATGGCATAATTTTTTTCTATTGCTCTTTTGACTTTCTCTTCCCCAGTGTATCTAAGTCTAGTCTGATGTTGCGGCCCGCACCCCCTCCCTCAGGGTCGACTTCAAGTTCGGGGAGGGGGACGGGCTACCGCCCACCGCGCAAGTCTGAAAAAGAGAATGAACAACAAACGCCACGCAAGCCACTCTATGCCCCGGATGGAGTTTCAGTCAGAAATGTCGCTTTCACATAAGGGAACGACAGAAAGCAATATAACGTGACAAGTAGGGGAAAACAGACACTTGAGAAAAAAAGAGAGAACGAAACCACCCAATAAAATTGTATAGCTAGGCTACAGTTTCTCTCACACTAATGCCACAAAGTAATTCATAAAATTAGTAAAATAGGCCTGCATGGCCTATACCACACGCAGTAGCACGCCGTTTTTAGTAACCGTAAAAAAGAACAATCAATGTGATCTAAATAATATTTAATCTAATAAAAAGAAAAAAAATGTTTTTGCAGCCAAACTGGATTTAGAACTGGATGGACTAGCCGATCCCCATGAATATCACTTTAGGCTATAGCCTACTAAACTTTGTCAGTTAGCCTATCATTAACCTCAGCGAAACATTGCAAAAGCAACCCTATCACAAATGCAGAAACAGCAGAACAGTTAATGAGCCTTTTGCTGTTGTTGTTTTTTTCTCTCTCTCTCTTGTTGGCTTGGGCATGTGGTCGGGGAATTAATGGTCTGCAATTAGTAGGCTACAGATTAGATTACAAATACTTATTCGTAAATTGTCCCATATATATTAAAAACATGCAGCATATTACGATAGTTTATATTACATTGCCAATAAAACAACAGCCAACACAATAATTAACAACAACATTGGTAATAAAAGAAATAATTTTATTGTCGTCAAGCAACAGCAAATAACGCTAAATAATGCAATTTAGCGTCTCTTTATTTTGTACATTCCAATGAGGATCAAACGAAAAAAAAAAAACCGAATTCCTAGATGGAATTAATTCTAAAAGGTTTTCGATTCTATTTAGAACTAAGCTACAGAGACTTCTGAAATAGACACGCTACATCCGCCAAATATCCTAAAGATTTAATTTCACAGATTAGTAACTCCAGCAGGATTTACTAATATGTGCGTATCACATGTGTTAGCCTATATACAAAGCGCATGGGTTATCCAGAAGATTAGGCGTAATTTCAGGTTAAATGGACCGCTTAAAACCTGTATTTTTGTATTTTTTGACACTTTTAAAAATATATTGTCGAAGAAAATTGTTTTGAAAGTGCTCGACAATTCAGTGAGTGACTGATGATGTAGTAAATTCACGACTTATATGCATGTAAATGTTCTAGTCATGAATAACTTTGTTTAAAAGGGTTAAAGAAAACACACACACACATTGCTTTAACCATTTTAAATGCCTTTTATAATATATAATGCATAACCTATATATAGCCTATACATACACATAGTTTAAGACAATGTTAAAGTTTAAGACAATGTTACTTAAAATAGTTTATATCTTTTGTAACATAATGTATTTGTGTAATGTGTCAGCGATGTTGTTTTTGACTAGAACAAAATCAAATAAATAACGTTTTACCACATGAAGCCTATTTTAAGATTTTTCCTGTTGTTTATAGTATAGATGCTAGTGTTGGGATAATTTGTTTGAATTTTGAGGTTATGATTTCTATTTGTATTTCTATCTCCTTCACCATTAGAATTTTTTTTTTTTTTTTTGCAATTTGATCACTCGTGTTTTTAAAAGGAGCGCGATAAATGAGCATCTACAAATATATCTATGCGGCTATCTGACAATGCGTCATGAAATTCTACATCAAACAAATTAGGCTACTTATAGTTATCACATATAAAATACATAGGCCTATTTTTAATAAAATGGATAAACCAGACGTAGGGCATGAGCCTATTGTATGTGGCCTTGGCTTTCATTGTCTAGACGACCACCCCGAGCTTCTAATGGCTCACAGAATGAAACCTGAGAAATACCCGCGCCATTTTACTAGTCATTCACAAATCTCTAATCTTTCTCACAACACATTCCAACATTCTCTCCTGAAACTTACGGGTGTTTTGGGTCAATTTGTCTATATTTAAAATTATCTTCATCTATAATTATCAAAGTTTTTACTTTCTTTGTTTTATATCAATACGGTCATGTAAATCACATTAAAATTATTAAAACAAATAAATGCTTAATTATGACAGGTCCGTTTTAGGACGCAGACTACAATACAGTCGAATTCGGTCTGATCCGGACAACAGCCCACAAAATAAACAAATAAATAAATAAATAAATAAAAATGTGCAGGTGCGGTTACATTTTTGTTCTTTAGATGGCGCCAGAGACCAGGTTTACTAGTGAGCAAAGGACTCGCGAATGGTTCAAATGCATTCACCCTTTCAAGACTATGTGCGCGCACTTGAGACATTACGTCAACAAAACAGACCAACACAGAGACAGGCTGACGCACACAACTGAAACGTGACTTTGGAAGGCATGCATCTTTTCATCAGCAGTGTCAAGTCAGATTGTGTGTGCATAGGCCTACAGCCTACAATAATCAGAAACTCGGAACCCATTTTATTTGTTTACATGGAATAATAATAATAATAATAATAATAATAATAATAATTAACTATTTTGGAAATTCATATGAGGGCCGTCGATAGGCTACCAGGAGATTGTCATATAGGACAACATAATGCACATTGAAACTTCAGTTGCAGATTAAGCTGCAAAATAGCAAAATTCTGGTTGTCTAAAGTCAGGCTATACACGGTGTTATCGTTTCTTTTTTTTTTTTTTTAACTTTGAAATTTTATTGTGTAAATGTGCCAATCGCGTATTAAATTAAGGTTTAAATATTTTTATATTTAGTCAATATTTTGAACTATAGTCTGTTAGACTAACCGTGTCTGTGATAACGATTCAGCAGTCAGCCGAATTCAAAGTTTTCTTAATAAAATCTTGATAAATCTTGACCAACTTAAAATGCCTTTCTGTTAAATTTAGTTGATCATATGACTTTATTTTTAAACGTAAAAAATACTACAAAGAATGACTAAAATAACTAAAATTTAAAAAGCATTTACATGCATGTCTGTTTGTGTGCGTCCTATTTGCCAAACTAAAAAAAAGAATTAAACACCCTTTGAAACCTGATCTAAAAATTGCTCATGACATGATTCAAAAACTATATATACTCCAAAACTAAAATGAAAAGCCAGAGCATAACAACAGAATTCGAGA